AGCCTTGCGACACACAGACCAGCAAAAAAACAAATAAGTTATATGGTTCTATCCCACCTAATCATCCCACTCTTCATCAAGTTGGTCGATCAGGCGGTTCTCCTCATCCACATCCCGTTGGTCCTGTCTACGATTGCTGCCAGCAGCATTTCTCCCTCTCCCACCAATAGCTCCCACCAGGCCATTTCTCCCGCCTCCTGCGCTGCCATTAGATGGCCCGTGGCCAAGCTGCGAATAAGCCGATCGAGACTTGCGGAAGCGGAAACAGTTCGCAATCGATGACCAGAGAATTATAAACATATCCTAATTCAGCGATGGTTAACTTGGCTTCCCTTCATTCTCTCAATAAATAACACAATAAAGAAGACAATAATTGGGGAGTGTCGATAAGCTTTGGTGGAGTTGGATTTCAGTTTCGAAATTAAGGTTTAGGGATGTGGGTACTAAAAATGCTTATTCCTTCCCTCGGGCCAAAGGCGAAGCAAAGCGAGGGCAACGAGGGGAGGAGGAAAAACAAACAAAAGATACGTAATGTGTGCTGTAAAAGGAAAAGAGATAAAGGAAAGGAGCGGGTAATCCTGGATTCGCTCGTTGATGGGCGGAAATACGGCATGTATTCTGACATGGAAGTAAAGGCGATCTAGAGGGCGTACCAGGAGCAGTGGCAAACAGTGGTTCGAATGAGCCCGCCGTTGGAGGTTATCCAAAATCGTTTGCTTGTAGACCAGAGGGTGAAGGATAACTGGAATGGCCGAGAGGAAGCGCAAAGTAAACAAAACAACAGGCAAACATATTCTATCCGCTAATATGCCTGGGTGTCCAATAAAATGGTATATGCATAAAGAGTTGAGGGTATATCCAACACAAAAACCAAGAAACCGAAATGTCTATAATAGAAACCGAAATGGGGCGAAGGATTTCAATCGAGGCGGGAAGTAGGGAGAGTAAGTGATGATCCCCGACCACCATTACTTTGGAATCTCGACGTTTGGTGATTACGCAAAAAGGGGAGAAACGAGAATATGGATGTTATACATACCCCGACAAAACTGGCAGCACCACTCCACATCCCGTAGTTCGGGCACTGCCTCCACCCTCGCTGGTGCATGACAGTTCGTTGATAGGCGCATCCACCAATAAGGTAGGCAGCTATAGCTATGCCGGCACTAAAAAGGGGTATTGCATCAGCTACTCGTGCGCTCTGACCTATGCAGTTGGGATCGTAACCCGGAATGACCTACATGATTCCGAAAACGCCAGCGGGACCAACGCCGCCGTCCGTACTTGCAGCAACGCCTCCACAGGCAGCAGCGGTTCTGACCTCGAAGAAATAGGAGCACGAATCGGGGCTACCGACGAATGAGAAGGTCGCGGCCGGCGTAACGAGGTCTCGGTCACAAAGGAAGGACATGATAGTCGTTTTCCTTCTCTCAACTTTGTCTTCGGGGTCTTTCTTTTTGTCATCTCCCTTCTTCTCATCATCATCACCCTTTTTATCACCGTCTTTGTCCTTATCATCATGTTCATTATCCTCATCGTCGTCACCGTCTATGATTTTGCGCCTAAACAGTTTGTGTCCAGATGACGGAGAAGGACACGGCGAACCATCGGTATAGTTCAGCACGAGTTTGCGTCCACGGAATAGGAGCGAAGATGATTGTTGCCTGACGGGACATTAGCAGTGTAATTTCATTGCATTAGCCTGGCTTTAAGATGAAGCATTTCAAGCTCAGCTCTCAGAAAACTTACCCGATAGAATATGTTTCTCCGCCCATCTCGTAGTATGCGCTGATATTCTGCCATCTCCTCTCATCGACTCCAACGACATCTGTCAAGTTCTCTACAACAGGAGCGCAGATATTTATCGTAAAATTAGCCCCATAGTCATGTCCCTTGACATGCCAGCTTTCATCCCTTTGGCGGTCCGCATGAGACTTCTTTCCATCCTTCTTATCCAGCTGTACTGATATCGCATTAAGGTCAAAATATAGGCCTGTATTTGGCGAGTGGATGGTACATGGCTTCTCTGGCGCCTTTGGCTTCTCCTCCGCTGCACCCCAGGCAAAGGAGGATAGAAACAGCACTTGAAGGAGCGACTGGAGCCGATTGATATGCATGGCAGGTCGTAGCGGCGGAGCTCAACAGCTCAGAATATATCAACGCCGAAGGAGAAGGTGTCTGTCTTGAAGTTCGCGATCTTAGGCGGCTAGGTTCGATAGAAACGTGGTCTTTCAAAACCGATGAGCACGTAGGAGGCACAATAAAACCCAAGCCCTATAATGATAAAAACGAGCGTGAGAAGTTGGAATCAATCCACATCCAAGGGTGAAAGGATGAAGAAATTCTTGTCGCAGCCAACCTAGCTTGCAATCGCCGCCTCCGCCCGATCTGGATCTGGGGACCTTTATCGAAACGCCTTTCGTTATGTAAGCAATATTTTTCTGGTTTGGCTTCCAGGAACTCCTTTTTTTTCTCTGATACAACGACCAACATCCAACAAACACCATGCAACCAACTGTTAACCTGTCTTGATGATTACGACGCTAATTCAGGGGTATGGGATATATATTTGGGGGTCTCTCGTTACGACTTAAGTGCAGGATCGACTGAACGATTTCCTATCTTGTTGCTATATTCCATATATTACCTTATTCGAATTTTTTTTTTCTTTAATACCACAGCGACAGGGAAACTGACTGGCAATGGGAAAGGCAAACGGGTCAAAGGTTGCCTCAAAGGCGGCTCAAACACCCTTTGAAAAACATGGATATGAGTTCTGTGGCCCGTATGTTCTACAATCTTATCATCTTATTTAAAATAAGCTCCTTCATTAACTTCTTTCATTCTGGTTGGCTGCAGACCTGGTGCAACAGTTCTAGTACTCGGCCTGCCTATCCTTATCTATATCTTCCCATTCCTTTGCAATGATATCTCGGGATGTCCCGCGCCGTCTCTTTTAAGCCCGTCCTCTTTTTCTCTCGAAAAACTCAAAATTGAAGTTGGTTGGCCGGAAAATGGAATTAGGGGTTTCTACAGCACGGAGGCTACACTATATGTTCTTGGGTATTATCTCCTTAGCTTGGTTCTGCAGGTCTTCCTTCCGGGAAGAGAGCCTGAAGGAGTAGTTCTAGCTTGTGGAAGCCGTCATAAGTATAAGTTCAATTGTACATTCTCCGAAATTGCCCCTTTGGGTTGTGCATTGGCTAATTTGCGATCTATTAGCTTTCTCTTCTGCACTCTTGATGCTGCTAGGCTGTGCTGTGGGAACCTGGATCTATGGCGCTGAATTCCCGCTATGGACGTTCCTCTGGGAGAACCATCTTCAAGTGGTTACCGCCAACCTTATCATATGTGTTTCATTGGCTGTATTTGTCTATCTGAGGAGCTTCACGGTTCCTGCTCCCGGACAACACAACCCTACCAACCGCGAATTGGCTCCTGGAGGACAAAGCGGCAACATCATATACGACTATTTCATTGGGCGCGAGCTCAATCCAAGAATCACCCTTCCCATTCCGTTCGTCAGCGAAAATTCCAGGACTCTTGATATCAAGGCATTTTGTGAGATGCGTCCTGGACTCCTTGGATGGGTTATCATGAACCTTTCAAATATTGCACACCAGTACAGGATAAATTCTGGCAACGTGACTTCATCCATCCTTCTTATCACTGCTTTCCAAGCCTGGTATGTCTTTGATGCGCTCTACATGGAACCAGCCATTCTCACAACTATCGATATCATTCTGGACGGATTCGGATTCATGCTGTCTTTCGGAGACTTGGTTTGGGTTCCCTTCATCTACTCCCTCCAAACAAGATACCTCGCCATGTACCCTCTTCAGCTCAGCCCTATCAATGTTGCATTGATTCTCGGCGCACAGGGTGTTGGATACTCCATTTTCCGCGGTGCCAATAACCAGAAGAACAGATTTAGAACGAACCCCGAGGATCCTCGGATCAAGCATATTAAATATATCGAGACCCGCAGCGGATCAAGACTTATGACTTCTGGATGGTGGGGAATGGCTCGCCATATCAACTATCTTGGGGACTGGATTATGGCCTGGACTTATTGTCTCCCAACTGGTATGGCCGGGTTTGCCATGGTGGAATCATTGAACCCTATCACAGGTGTGATGGAGAAGCGTGCTGTCCAGACAGAAGAGTCACGCGGATGGGGAATGGCCATCACGTACTTCTACGTTGTTTACTTCGGAATTCTTCTCGTCCATCGAGAGCGACGCGACGAAGACAAATGCAAAAGGAAATACGGCGAAGATTGGGCCAAATATACCTCGAAGGTTAAGAGTAGAATTATTCCAGGCATCTACTGAACATACCAAAGCATCAGTTTTTGTAGGAGCATAGGGGGCACTTTACACTTCTGACTTTTGTCCATCTTGTTTTCACCATCGGCGTTGTTAAAGCCGAACATGTATTCTAACTTAAATATAGATAGCACCGTTTAATTGACATAGCACCATTTAATTGAGAGAAGTCGTGATCCTGATATATTATCTATTGTCTAACTTTCTTTGGGGGATTGCAGTTGTTGACGCTTTGCTTTCGCCGGGATATCGAAGACGCTCATGTCCCAAGTGTCATCACCATAGTTCCGGATCCAATTATTAAGGACAAGTCGTACATCCTGCAGAACTTGAGCCCGGGCTTGCAGGTACCCACCCATGGCTGTCTGTGATTTTAAAGCACCATACGAAGGCGCTGAATGCACGATTTGAGTTAAAGATGAAGTTTGGGTACCACCAAGCTGTTCTGATACCAAACCGCCCTCGTCTAGAAGTTTGGAAATGTCACCGAGGAGAGCCCACATTCTAGCCCTGGATAATGCGCTGGCCTTTTTAAAGCCAGGCGAATTCAGCCGATACCCCTGTTTGACTCCATTTATCAAAGTCTCATTGAGGTTTGTAGGGGGTGTTCTGAAAAATTCCTTGTACCCTCCTGGCTCGGAGAAAGAATGGATATCATTCCATTTGGACGTGAATGGCGGCCGCGGCGAGTTTGACGGAGGTGCAGTCCAAACCGCAGAAACATTACCGGTTTTAACCTTTTCTTCAGATGACTTAGCAGTAGGCTTTCCGTACTTCCACATGCCTTCAACCTCTTCCATTGGCAACGAAGTCATCTCAAAAGGACGAAACTTAAAACATGCATCAGCTTTGTGGCCTGTTCCCCATGTCCGTCCGTTTAAGGGCCGCATACGGCCTGATTCACCGCTACCAAATGACCGGTCACACCCTGTGCGATTGAGCTCAGCCGCCGGTAAAACGATGTTAGATATATATGCATTCGAGGTTGGTACAACTAACAGGCTTGTGGGAAAGGATAGAATGGATGTCGCTTGTTTTACGGCGAGCTTATCCGAACATGACTTGCTGAGAGTTGACTCGGCATCTGCTCGGGAAGGCTTCCGGCGAACCGCACCTAGTATTGAAAAATGAGCTCTACCATTTAGCAACCCTTGCGGTTGGCTACCTGGGTTTTCTGTATTGCTAGTTTCGGGAACGTAGAGTTTCCAAGGAGTAGGGTCCTCCTGAGCGGCCATGCATAATTCCATACTGGCGTCTCCACAAGGTGCACATGAACAATACATCCATATCTTGACATCCTCCTTTATTCGAAAAGGAGGCCAGGGTATTGGTTCCTGTAAATCGGTGTTTTCCAGGTTCCATTGTAAGAATCTTGATCCAAAACAATTCAACGGATCACCAGAGCCCTGATTAATTTCATCAAGCACGCCAGCGCATGAGTTATCAACGTGCTTTTTGTTAAATTCGGTTAAAACAGACTTGCATTCTTCGAGTAGCCAGTGGTTGAAAGCACGAAGCGTAAGTATTTCAGCATGGCTGTCATGCAGGACAAGCCCGCTACACTGTGCAATTTGTGAAGAAGGTAGGCATTTTGCACCGGTTCTATACACAGTCGTTAGATATGGTTATTTCATATATAGAGAGTATAATTATATACTCACGCAACAGCAACACAAGTTAAAGCTTCCTCGGGTGTGTTCACCTCTGGACGACTAGTTAGTACAAAATGAAACTAAAGTGCATAAGGACGAGGTTTGGGGCGAATGGAGCCCTTTAATCCATCACATACTAGTTACCAAGACAATCCCACTTAGTGGAATCCATTCCCTTAGGCCATTGCCATGAATAGTTGGTTTGCTCCGTTGTGGAAGTGCTTCAAAATGTGCATGGACTAGTGATGCAACGCGTCGTTCAAGAGACGGATGATTATGACACATGAATTATTAATTCCCTCGACGTAAAAGAGAGGCCAGTTATATGTAAATAGGGCATTCCCAGGTCATGAGCTTTTCTTGATATTTGACAACTAGTTATTCCTTCGCCCTACGACTTTAGATCAAAGTGCCATCCATCTTGGGTCCAAAATTTTATATATCACGTGATGAATCCGGAACCTGGCGGCTGAGCCGATGGGATACAGACAGACAATGATCATTGCAGCATGATTTTGGTCTGGTGGTAGCGTCAGATCTGCATTTTAACGATATAATGGGAGATAAGAAACAATTATATTTTCGCAAGATCTCTAACCACCAGGTAACTAGTCAGCCGCAAGCATGAGAGCCAGGAACTCGCCACGAACAAGTAGGCCGCGCCGAGGCCGAGATCGTGGAGTTGAGCAGCCAGCGCCCTCCAAGGGCCAGCAGCGTGTGGCTTTAGACCAAGACGAGTGGATAATCAGAAGCAGCTCTTGCAGCGGCAACTAAGCCCATGAACGAGTTGTTGAGTTGGTTGACTAACGAGTTAACTAGTGGGCGACGTGATCAGCTGGCCACGCTTAAAGCATCACGGGAGTGTTACAAACACCGGCCCAGAGCGGTAAGCTTGACGCAGCTCGCATAGGACACAGCCTCAGTATATATAGCTACTGAGAACTCCCGGGCTGATGGCCGAATAGAAAAGCTTATGTTCATCCTGTTTCTTTCCTGACTCTCATGGGGCCGCTTCATTTCGAAAGGGTCGGATTCATGGTTGTTTCCCTCTTCTAAGACGATATACTCGCAGGAGTGATTATTCAAGTATTGCATTACTTGATTTGATACGTTTTCGGACACAGAAGGGCATCTCGTTGTATCCTACAGGAATCAGATGTGTCTAGACTTGTGGGCCGTTCTGAAACGGAGGAAGAAACCGTCGTATAACCATGACAGGAAATTAGGATACAGAGATGACCAAGAAGTGTCTACGAGTAAGGTTGCCCGATACGCCTCCCTCGCTCCAGGAATCTAAATGTGCCTATAGAATTTATCTTTGCGGAGCATTGCCTGCAGGGAAACGCTATTCACCTGAAGGTTGGGGTTGAGACTGAAATACCCGCCAGCAACCTTCCACTGAAACTTCCCAACGGGCTATCGTTGACATATGGCGAAATACTTGGCCTGGCTGGCGATCTTTATGGGACAGATCAGCCCATAAGTGATGGCGTTACTCAGAATGAGCGACATAACCGATTCCTGAAAGCGTTCGATACGCTAGCAAATGATACCAAATACGCTCCGGAAGAGGCCCCGAAACTTCTCGAGATACTTCATGATGAGATGGAAGAAATCAAAAAGGCTATACGGGATGGAAAATCGGCATCAGAGGTCCACAATCGACTGAAAGTCGCTTTGGGGAAGAACCTTGGATTCGCAACTCTGTTTCGGCCAAGCGGTATTCCATCGTTCCTAGGCCTTGCTCTGATCAACTATGACCATTTTGGTACAGATGCAGAGATAGCGTATAATACTGGTCATAATGCTGCTATCCAATATGCTTTGCGTACAGATAGTGACTTGGCCGTAGCATATGCAATGAACGCCTTTGCAGACCATTTTCTACACGACCATTTCTCTGCTGGTCATCTACGTGTTCCCCGCCGCCAACTCCATGGCAGTACTTTGAATTCTGGAGACGCTTGTTCCAAGGTAGGCAGACCCATACACACCTAGGTATATTCGCTTGAATCACTGGCGTGCTAAAAATTTCCAGCTTATGCACGACGAAGATAGCTGTCTTGGGTTGAAGGTCAGCAATCCGAATGGGGATTCGTGGACAGCCTATGGCGACTCACGTTTATTTGATGACGTGAGTAAGCGTCACCGAGAGATATTCATAAAAGCCCAACAAGCATCGGCCGACGAAGTATTCCAGGCCTGGCGATATAAGATTATACCGCCGACGTTTGAAGCATGGAAATATGCGCCTACTATTGAATCTGCCTTGTCAGCTGATCAGCCCCTAGCTCCATTGTTTGTTTTATCTACTGGGGAAGACAAGAAACCAGTACTTCTGAGAAGACGAAATGTCAGTGACAGGAAAAGTAAAGATTATATTTCTGACTGGACATATACTGGAACCGTGATAAAGTGCAGATGGAGTGGGCGATGGAACTACCCCATGACCCTTGAAGAATAATTGTGTTGTACGGAGTATCACTTACAATATATACCGTCTTTACTGCTATATCTAACGACCTAATGCCTATTTTAAACTGAGTTGACATTCTCTTGAGGTTAAGTTGCCGACACTTCGTATAGATCCGCGGAAACAGGGAGATGTTCACGTGACCACTTCGCGCGGCCAAAAGTAACTAAATCGATCTTCAACCCTCGGCGACATATCTTTCCAACTCTGCACATTAGCAAACTTCTCACCACAATACAACTTCAGCTGAGATCTCTGCCTCAATTTTCACCATGGCCGATAAGCTGCGCACGCTTCAGAACCTCGAGGCACTTCAGGCCCGCTACATTGGCACAGGACACGCCGATACAACCAAGTACGAATGGACATCCAACATCATTCGCGACAGCTATGCTTCTTACATCGGACATCCACCACTCCTCCAATACATGTCCATTGGCATGGGCGAATCAAAGGAAAAAGTTAGAGCTGCGATGGTTGAAAAGATAGTTCGAGGAGCAGGAAATCCGCCAGATGTGAGTTGACTTCCAGGCTCTACCTGATTTTAGCTGAAGAGCTGAGAGGCTAATATGGATTAATGGATGTAGACAAGTGAATGATCGACCAGCTATACTTGAATTTTTTTTCGTCACGCGAGAATATGATACGGTTCAGAGGAGGGAGGGGGTGAGGTCGGCGATAGATCGTTGCCGTGCGGGCTCAAGGAGTCAAAATGATATATTGATGCGAGTCGCGACGGACCCCGTTGAACCTACGTGAGATAAATGCATGTGAAGCGGTGAGGCGAGACATTTGCCCACTCTCATATTAGCTTCCACGACCCGATCCGGCTGTGAATATGGCATGGGATACGAGATAAGACTTCGATTCTTTGCCACGGTGTCTGGACAGTTTCGCTCAGTTCGAGAGGATTCCGAGGAAAACAGTCCCTTCATTAAAGCTGGCGTGCAGGGTTCGGGATAGTTGGTCATAATTATGTATATTTTTAGCGCTGGCGGTGCCCATAAGGGTAATACCAGGACACGCAGTTGTCATGCATCCTGCTAGGTGCAGAGAACATATCTTTGTCTACGAGTCCAAACCCAGATTTCTTAGACGAGTCAATATGCAATGCAAGTTCAGACACCAGTTTGGGCGATCCAAAAAAAGTCGATTTTGATTTTTTTTTTTTTTCGTTTTTACGTATTTTTAAAAAGTATAGTAGCGAATTTGACAACAAGCGAATGAGGGACAAACGCAAGTAGCAGACGAAGCACAGCTCCGAATAAAAAAGGATCAAAAGAGCAGAGAGCACAAAAGTCAAAACCAGCATCCGATTCCTGGCTTCCACCGCAGCTCCAGTCAATGGAGAGCAGATAAGAAACACAGGCCGCTCCAGGAACAAAAATGTGACCGAAATGAACAAGAAGTGAACAACCAGCCTGGAGCAAAGGGGATGAGCCTAGTGAGGGTGACCCCGGCATTTCAGACAAGCCGGGAGTGCAACCGCTGATGAGGAGAGAGCATGGCAGAGTCAACAACGCGCTGCTGGTGAAGGGATCAAAGGGTCGACGGTGGGAAGCAATCACAGATCGTTCGCAGCGGACGCTCACAGATCCCGACGTGCGCTCGTTAGCCACGAGGTTGAGGCAGCCGAAGGCCCAGCAGTGGTGGACAGATACCAATATTCTTCCCCTTAAGAGCGAGAAGCATTCCGACTCGTTCTGGAAAGGGGCCGGGGTCGGAAAAAACGACGAGGATATGAGGTTCCCATGCCAGATGAGAAAATCTCCCACGTCAATGGGGCGTCGTGTGTCTTCATACTCACCAATCCAACCGAATGGATCGCCTGTTCGGTAGCCAGTACCGAAATGAGTTCCAGACAACGACACGGAAAGACGGTTGGTTGAGCCCACCGGACGGTTGATACCCAGACGCAGGCTTCGTGGCCGGTCTAGCCGCCAATACTGCCTATAAAGGGGCGTTTGGGTATGTATACCAATCCAGGAGATACCACACGCTGTTTCCGCATCCACGACAAAAAAAGGGGTAATAAATGAAAACATTTCCAGCCGCGAGGCATATCAGTCTTGATGATATCGTATGCGAGACATGAACAAATGAAAAACAATCCACCCTGGGATGTCATGAACAAAAATGAGGTAGCCGACCCGCCGGTTCTTCATGCAAAAAACAAAGCAAAAAACATAAACATGAAAGTAAATCGAGCACAAAAAATCAAACGCTTGCTAATGAACGCATCATACAATGAAAACCAGACATGAGGAGGGAAGAAGGAAAAAGGAAATAATATGCCAGATAAATGCCACTGCCGCTTAATGAGGATTGGAGAACGCCGTCAGTGATGCGGTTGATGCTTATGGTGCTGGGTGCCTGTTTAAGATGTAGGGATATGTTGTAGGATCGTAGTTTGAACTGCTGTCGGTGTGGCATGCTGTTCTTTACTTGTTGGGTATAGCTGCCCTTCTTTACATGGCTGTTCCGTACTGGAGGGCAAATTCAGGGTATCTATCGGCCCAGACGAAACCGTCCATGCCAGCAGCAGCACCACACTGATGCACCAGCATGTCAGGCAGGAGGTAAGGGACAGCGGAAGCTAGGGTGGTTGGACATTCGTAGAACTCTGACGTGGTGAAAGTGGCTGTCGAGAATGGCTGGCAGTGTGACGACGTAGGCGAGGACAGGGACATGTCACTGTAGCCGATGTTGGGCCACATATTGGGATGAGAGTCACTTGTCGTCGTGCTTGGGCTGGAAGGCAGAACATCCCAGGATTCAACCGGGGAAGGCGATTGCTGGGTCGGGCTATGATGCCACCATTCATCAGGGCCAGTGGAAGAAGGGACTAATGGCGTAGAACGCACCACATCGACGATCCGTGGCGGAGGAGGGAGCAGAGGCACGAAGAGGCCCATGATAGCGGCTTTGGCTTCGTCTGCCAGGCCACAGAGTAACTCTCCTGCGCCTTCTTCCTCCATGCCTTCAAGGGCAGAGGCGCTTGTGCGGTATACAAACCGGTTGACGGCCTGGACAAATTCCTCTTGAAGTTTCTTGAGTTGCATCTCCTTCTCGGGCCAGTCCCATGTCTTGCTTGCGGTGTCGACCGAGTAAATTTCCTTGTGGTAATCGATGAGTGTCTCGATGGTCTCTGGAGTTAGCTTGAAGGCCACTTCGTTCTGCGAGACCATATCGACATGCACGACGTAGGCTTCCATGTGAGAGAGTTGATAGTTGAAGAGGGCATCCACGAGTGGGTTCTCATCCTTGGGTAGCTTGGACTCGGGAGCCTTGAGCAGCATGATTGAACATAGGTTCCAGATGGCATTCTGGTGGGAGAGGACCTCTGTGAGGCATCTGGTATGCTGTCCGACGTTGTTAAGCGGTCTCTTCACTTTGTTCACTCGCTTTAGGGTGACGGTCATCCATTGTTCCACTCTTGACAGCACCACGGTAGGCGACGCTCTGGAGCAAAAGCGGCAGCAGAGGCTGGTAAGAAGGCTGTCGCGCATCTTTGGATTATTCTAGATCGCATTAAAGCCGTTTCCCTTTCCTTTCCACATATACTCCGTCGCTGGATCTAGGTTTTTATATATGATGGTCTGATGTTGTATAGCAAGTCGAGGGCAAAAAAAAAAAAAAGCAAAAAAGAAAAAGAATAAAATATATGATAGAAAAGTATAGAAGATAAAGGTGTTAATATATTAGAGGAAGAAGAAGAAGAGACGGGGTCAGAAGGAGGTCGACGTGGGAGGGAGGGCAAAGGGGACGTTGGCACCTCTTCTTCTGTGCGGGCGGAAGTAGATATAGAGAAGCGGAAGGGGAAGAGGGAAGGAAAAGAAGGCTGAGAGACGGCGGACAGACAGAGTGTATATGTAGAAGATAAACGACGTCCACCCACCAAAACCCACAGCGAACGAACAAGGCCAGGCCCGGTCAGGAAACAGTAAGAATGGGAAAAACCTTGGATGCTCTGTATGGATGCTTGTATGTCGTCGATACGAGCTGAGTTGCAAAAGCTTCCTCCTGCATATGTACGTTTAGGTTCTGCTTAACCCAGCGCCCCGTCATTTTTGTCTGTTGAGCATCTCTCTGCTGCTGCTGCTGCTGCTTCTTCTTCTTCTTTTTTCAGCTTCCTGCCGCCTGTCTACTCTGCCCTCCCTTTCTACTCCGGTCTCGCTCCTTGTCTTCTCCTTTCCTTGCCGCCATGCAAAAAGAAGGACGCAGTGAACGAAGGAAAATAGTAATATAAAAACATGGCATGGAATTTTTGCAAGTTTTCGCTGTGGCGCTGGCTGTAAGTAAGGAAGGGAAAAAAAGACATGCTGTAAGGTACTGTCATGCGCGTGTACGGTACTGGCAATACCGGTCACAAGGGCCCCATGTCCCAGTTACGCGCCCACTCCGAACGTCAGTTTAAAGGTGAGAAGAAGGCCCTGGCGTCGGCGTATCCATGGTACAGCTCGGTACCGGGACGCCCGTCACGGTATCGCCGTGACTATACCTTACCTTACTTACTAAGAATAACACCAACTAAAACTGTCCAAAAAACAAAAAAAGGCCATGCAGGTCTCTTCGTCGTTGCATCATCGCGATGGGCTGCTCGGAGTAGCGAGCCTGATAACTACTGATAGACGACGGCAGGCAAGACCCCATCGAGCCGTCCATTATCTGCCCAGATGGCAAGATGACAAGATGAGCCACAGGTCGGCCCGGGTGCGAGATGTGCACAGGCGCCTCTTAGCCGGCGAAGGGCAGGTTTCTTTCCTTTTTCGCATTCATTCTTTCGTCGTGGTGCAGCTGGACACAGCTCTATCTGTGTTTTTTTCTCCTGCGTCCTCCTCCTGCGTGTATACGGGGACCGTCAGCAGTGGCAAATTGACCCGACGCATCACCCTCATGTTTACCCGCATTTTCTACTCGGGCGAAGGAACCTCCTTTTTTTTCTGCTTGATCTTCTTTGCTACGGAGCACTGTTCTCCATAATCTTCTAGCTTGACCGTTGGTGGAAACCGACAGGATAGGCGGCACAGTCCGTGGCCACGCTCTGGCCTATATTCTACGCATACCCATTCATATTGACGCTGGGTCGAGTGGCCAACGAGATTCCCCAGACCTACTTCCCCTGAGACTTCTGATACCCTCCTATGAACGCCATAGTACGCCGGCATTACGGAGCAGAGCCATATTTGAGATGAATATCGAGGAGTGTGCTAGGCGCTACTCCCTCTGTCCTTCTCTCTCTTTCTCCGTCTCTCTCTCTTTCTCTTTTTTTTTTATTTTTTATTTATTTTTTTTTTTTTAACTTATGCGCTCAGAGCTTTGAAACAAGCCCACAGGCTCCTCTTGACGGGGGTGACAAGGCAACACCATCGAACTCTCCCGGGAAAAAGGCCAAAGGGTCTGGAAGCGATTTTCCATCCATCCCCCGTGGATCTTTCAGCACCTCTGCGTGTGTGGAGTACTGACTGGAAGGAGCCTAGACATGGGAAAGGGGGGGTTATTACCCCACGCACACTCGCCTTCTACTAATCTATCTACTTGGACTACATAAGTAATACCCTTTGCAGCTCCAAGTCCCCTTCGCAGCATGGGAAGAACCAGCAGCAGTAAGAAGAACGATTAACCGACCCATCGGATTTTCTCGCCATTCCCACGAGCCGATATGGAGACATTTTACCCATCAAGTCCAAAAGAAGAAAGGGAATTCTTTTTTCTCTCCTTCCCTTGCCCAGCTGATGGAGGGGACCTGTCTCTGTCTTGGGTCGCTTCAGAGATGGGATTCGCTAGGAGAACGAGACACCAAAGTGTTTGGCTACGTAGACATCCCTGTTCTGGTAGCTGATTGGATAGGCACTTTGATTGATCAGTCATTCGAGACTTTCTGGAAAACCAAAATTATAAAAAGGAATCCTTTCTCCCTCTGCGTAAGTAGCCAGCGACAATAAAGAAATGTGTGGGCGTGCATAGGTACTTCGTAGTTTGGTGGTTGTCGTGCTCGGGACAATTTGATCTAGACGTCTTGAAGTTCTTACTGGTCACATCTATCAACTTCTCAAACACCCTATGTTTATCCAACTATCCAACTAGTTAGTAGTTACTTTATTTACACGCTTACTGTTTCTCCCTAGTATTTCCATGTGACTCTGCATATCACAATATATACCAACCACCCATATATACGCATGTCTGGTCTCTTTGCATTAATAACCACTTAGGTGTTATGCATTATCTGTTGCACAATTAATTTTTCAGCGACCTGCATCAACTGCGAATTTTGAGGAGAAGGAGAAGGAAAAACGCCTTGTGACCGGCCACTGCCGCTTCCCTCTCTCATATTTCATACTGTCCACAGAAAAGGTGCCTTGACAAATTACATTACATCGCGCCTGCTTCAGCTTCCCCTTTGGGAATGAAGGTGCCTCTCCATACCGAAGATCCAAAGTGTCAATGCTTTAAACTATTAGATATAATGTTTATGTATACGTAGGCACCCGGTTAGCCGAGAAAAGCCTTTTGGTTTTTGCGAGGTACGGGTACATTTTTTGATGCAAAACTATACACACACAAAGTCAGGGCTATGGGGTGGCAAGCAAACGCTCCAGCGCCAAAGACATCAGAAGAAATAACCATTACGCGATGCGCTCAGCTCGGCAGTCTGCGCATACGCGATAACACCCGCCTCTCCTCCGATGTGCTCTATCCTGCTTTGCCGGATATCCGCCTGATTGACTTCTGTACTATCGCATGTCGACTCAAGCGCCTCCCATGCTCAGCTGAGATGGTTGTGCTTGTCTATGAAATTTCTTTGATTCCTGACGTCATGAGGACATGTGATATCGATCGCTCCAGTAGTATCGTAGTATTTCCCTTGCTAATGACCGCCTTAAGAGACGACGGTATACCTGGGCTGCTGCTGATCGATGCGACGGACTTGTCCGGTTGTGCCGTCCGCGGTTGCAATGCAGCTTTTTTGACGCTGGGGATGATACCTTTGACCGCGCCACAAAAGGCGTATGGAAGTATAACATTACTGCCTGTATTTTAAGATGCGTTATGTGTCAGCGTGTGGCTGTGCTATGATGCCAAGGTGCGGTAACTTTGGTAATTTTGGTAACATGGGTAAGTTATGTATTTTTTGATGCCAACGTCAGCGAAAAGCATCAAGAGGTAAACGACAACTGCGTTCTCCATCTTCACCGACTATTTTTTTGGTGCCACGATCCCCGGCTAAAGAGTTTCAGGCAGAGACGCCCTGCTGATGACTTCTTTCAGACTTTGCTTTAGGCGGCTTGGGCCGTGAAGAATTTGTCAAAAGACGTCATCGACCGTTGGCGGGGCAGTGAAAGCGAACAAGTTGATGGAAGAGCTGACCGGCCTGCCAGCCCAGATAGGCAAACACTTAGCCGCTGCATAAGGACCCTTATCCCTCCAGCCCGTTTCGTTTGGTGCTTGCATGATGTAGAATACTGGCCATGGGCTCCTGGCCGGCCGTGGTCATGTGGGAAGAATTACGTATGTTGGTTGTTATGTCCATCAACCAAACCAGATCAGATATAAGCGAGTTGTTGGGAATCATACTTTTATTGCAGCACAGCAACTAAGTTAACCCCGTAGCTACGGACGCCTTTTGGGCGGGACTTGCTTGTTGGTAGAAGAGAAGTCCGAATCATTCTTGCGAGAGAGTGGCATGTTGACGTGGAACTCTGAAACCAAGAGTCGAGTAGCCTTTCCGAGCCTTCGGAATTGTTTCATATTAAAGTCGTGTCCTCCCCTCTAGGATCCTTCGTCCAGCGTCTGATTCGTCGGCTATTGAAAGATCCCCAGAGGCCGTGCTCGGTTTCAAGAGAGACATCCTAGATTCTGAAACAAAACGTCGATGCACCCCCGCGGCCAAAGAAAAGACTTTTGATCTACATACTCCCGATATCTATACGGATCTTCTTCCCATCAACGAGGATGTTTGTCGTTTGAGTCCTTCTTTCGGCTTACATCTAGAACTAGTCGACGATGACTCACTGACAGGGGATATCAACTTGAAACATAGTATGCATATGCACCGCCTGTTTGGGGCCCATTTATGAGTAGCGCGACGTAGGCGCGAGACACGCGCGTGAAAGGATCCCACTTTCACCATATTTGTTTATTTTGGCTTGCATCCTTGTTATTGTTTGCAGTTTGTTTCTTCAGTGTTCACATCACGTCGTTTTTGATCGGTTGCACGGTCTCCTTGGTGGTCGAAGCTTTTATTCTTCTCCTTAGCCTGAAACTCCGCACGCCCATTTTCACTCTTTTCTTTTTCGATGTTTTTAAATTGCAGCCTGCTTGCCCACTCTTCCCTATAGATTAAATTATCATTTGTGCAACAGGAAAAGGCTTCCGATATTTAAATGACTCAAAACAGGAAAAATGCGAGTACTCGGCGATATATGTCAAGATAATGCCGGTCGTACGATAAATGCATAAAATACATTAATGCTTCGTTCTTCCGCATAGTATCGTATTTACGTTTCTAGATAGAGAAGAGCTAAGGAAATCTAGCAGACTGGAGTAGTTTGTGGTAACTGCCATTGCTCGAGATATTGATTTCTCCTCTCTTGTTTTTATCTCAAAGGGCACTGTTATTTGAGTGCAAACATCCCAGCCTTCTAGCATGACGCAATTAGGTATCATGTTCAATATCCGAACATAAATAGCAGTTATATTACTTCCCCGATATGAATCAAAAGATCCCCTGTGGTGTCCATCTCTTGGAATGTCAATACAAGGGTAGCTTCCATAAGCGGCCAATCGAGTAACAAGGTAGGGGAGGGCAACATGATTGCGCCAGCAGAGCGGGAGTCGTGAGTCTGATATATTGGCCCTTAGCTGCATAGCATAGGTGGGACTTTGTTTGCGCTACCAAAAATAGCGGTTATCGCCATAATGAGGGCTTCTGGACTTTGGGGCAATCAATATCGCCTTGATCCCCGGCGATTAAGAGGTAACACCGACTTGTGATGCTACTCTTCGGTGAGTACCACGCTTTGGGCGGTCTTCTTTAGATAACCGGTATAGAGTAGCAGGTGGGCTTTTATCAGGGAATGGATAGCAGTCGATCAAAGACACCATCTATCTCCCATGCATCATACACCCTGCATCTTCTCCTCTTTTTCCTTCTTTATCTTCAAAAACACCTTCCTCTCCATCTCACGTTCCTCAGTTTTCCTCTGCATGGTTTTTTGAATTTGCTCCGTCTTCTCCTTCGCTTCATCAATCCTTTTCTTCACTTCCTTAGCCGCCTCTTCTTGCCCCTTACGTGCCGCAACGGAGGTCGTATATTGCTTTCGTAGTTGTTGAAGCTCGGCTTGAAATTCAACTACATCTAGTGGTGCACACGTAACGGGATGGTATCGGTGACTTGGTAAGGGATCAGAAGGCACCCGGACATCAGGTAGTAGCGCGTGAATAGGCGTCGTCCGCAGTGGTGAGTCTAGGCTAACGAGTTCATTCGTGTCTGAGTTCGACGGCTTGGGTTCCGGCGGAGGGGAAAGGGGTAGTTTATCTGTCTCCATCATGTTGCCTTACTTGTGTTCAGCTGAAGGTTATGCAGATATAGACGAGAGATTGACAAGCGATTGACGTCGATTCAAACTACCGAGTCAACTTGAACTGCCAACATTACTAAGCAGACTTTGAACAGGGGTTGTCGACTTTTAACACGCTTTAGGGTCTTGGCCATGTCATGTGATTGAGATAATATTTTGGTCCCCATCCGCTTACTTCAACGTCCCTTTTTCTGTGTCATGACCACAATACTTCATGATGTTGCACCTTGGCGCTATCATTCGGCATCATAAAACTGCCACTGTATGGAGCTAGCAGCTGCTACAAGCTACATTATCCCCAGAAGACCGACTATCATTTATGAGATACCTTTCTAGTTATGCCCGGTTGAAGATTGCTGACTACATGTAAGGCGTATTGAGAGGTTGATTCACACTCATCCGCCTTAGCATGCTACGAAACGCAACTCACCAACCAATTACAAATTATCCCCGGCTAAATAAAGGCCTAACGGTGGCTTCAGTAAATATGCAGTAAGCTCATTCTAGTTTCAATATTTCTATACCTGAATAAATGTCTTCTAACTATTCTTAAATTGGGAGCAACAGCCTCAAGTCTTCTTGGGAATAATCAAAGTTAGGTAGCCACAATCTTTCAAATGCCCGAAATCGCCGCAAGAATGGGACGAACAGAGTAGCTGGTGAGTTAGACAACAATGATTAACTACACTTTCTCAGAACTGGCGGGGGAAACCTTCAACCAAAGGGGCTTGGCCTCCCAGACCGCGTACTCAGGGGTGTCGTGCGGGTCAATATTGTTAGGTTCAGCCTCAAGGTCGAAGTTCCAGAACAGCCTGGCTATTACAAGACGCAGAATAGCATTCGAGAACCTTTTTTGAGAGATGCAGTCAGCTTTGTCTGTAATTTTTGAAGGGAAACCTGGGTTTCTTACGTCATTCCAATGCAACTGCGCTGTCCGATGGAGAAAGGAGTAAAGGCCTGGCGGTTATCGCTAGCAAATTTTGAATCTTCTCCAAGCCACCTCTCGGGAATAAACCGTTCGGGGTCACGCCAATATTTAGGCGAACGACTGGCAGCTAGGTTTGCTATCGATACCCAAGTCTATGAAGTCCCAGGGTTAGATGTGGACATCTAAAATGAGGGTGAGGAATTTCACATACCCCGCCAGGAACCGGTCGCCCATCAATTACCGCCCCATTTTTTGGGGCCACACGGTGAAGGCCAACAGGCACCGGAGGGTGTATGCGTAAGGTTTCTCTGATGACAGCTCCAAGGTAGTCCAAGCGCCTAGTGGCCGCAAGAGTAATCTCATGTTCTGCTTGAAAAGTGCTCTTAATTTCACTCTTCAGCATATCATAACAGTGTCTGTTATGGGTGAGATAATAAGTCAAGGATGAAAGTGTGGTGATGGTGCTGTCAGCTCCCGCAGCGACAAGAATATTAACGTTATCCTCCAGTTCCTCATTGGATAAGCCTTCCTGGAAGAATGACGCAAATTCCGGGCGAGTGGTAACTGGCTTAACATTTCCTTGCTTGTCTCGATATTCCTTCAGCTTCCTGGGGTAATATTCGGCTGCCTTTGGATTATGAACTTTGCTTAGGCCTGAAGGGATACACCACTCCAATATAACGTGATAAGGTTTTAGTCGATGCGCAGCTTGCACAAAGTGTGACATCAGGAGCCCTTCATAGAGTGCCTGGAGCCAAGGGTCATAATCACCACGCTTAAGACAACCTTGTTCTTCACCAAAAGAAAGGCGCGTTAGGATATCGAAAACGGCAAAATTATACCATGCAGCTATATTGACAATCCCTTGAGAATCTGGAAATTGAGCTTGCCCGGTGCGGTTGCGAAGGCCGTTGATTAGCCCATCAATGAGATTTTGAATAACCGGCTCTTGCTCGCGAAGTGCATTTTCGGATAATGCGGGTGTAATAAGCTTGCGGTACCGAATATTGTCGTGGAGCGGTGCGAAGAAAACATTGGTGACTGGCTCAGTGGACCCTAGAAGCCATATGACAGGATTCTTTTCATATACAGAGTTTTCATTCTGTTTTCCAGCAAATATGGTTCGGTTCGCTGAAGGGCTAATGTATGACAACTCTCTAGGGCCAACACGGACGACATCGCCATAACGTTCGTGAAGTGTTGCTATGTATTTAGCGCTGTCACCTTTCACCATATGATATGAGTATATGAGCTGAGTCGCAGAATCTAGAATGGGACCTGGGTAACTGCGTAAGGGGTGAAGGAAAATGTTATAAACAGCCAGTGCGACATGATACCCTAGCCACTGTGGCATTTTTCTTAGTATTAGCCATCATAGTCCTGTGAAACTTCCCCCAAACAGCAAAGAAGTAAAGCTAAGGAATAATAGTCATACGGTCAGAATCGGAAGTACCAGGCACTCTAACAAGCCCATGATAGCGAATATTATCCAACAAAACAATTGACGAAATAGGGTATGTAATAAAAATCTGGGGCCCTAAGATCTAATTTCTACATAGAGTAGATGACTCTTGGGACCTTTCTATATGTTCCTCTGGCGATGCACTTCAAGAAGGGGTATTTACCTTAAAATTAACACTCTACTTGGCGCATTTGCTTCTGCCCAATAAGAGCCGGAAGTAACTAGTGCAGTCTCTGGGCAAAGGCGAAAAAGATGCGTGGGCCATTGTATATCTAGTGGCTGGTTGGATTTTAAACATCTCTGTTGCATACAACTTACCAAAAAAAAGGCTTGAAATGATTCTATTGTTTCCGTCTCTCTTATTGTTTCCCGTCTCTCTTATTGTTTCCCGTCTCTCTTATTGTTTCCATCTCTTTTTTGATACCGTTTTTGATATGCCGAGTACCCGTCTCCCCCCCTCCCCCCCCAATGCTCTCCCAGCTCAGAACTGGCTCTTCGGACTGGCTCAGTCTATACGGAGTACTTGGAGTCTGTATTGCTAGGAAAAGAGAGGGAGGAGGTTCTGAAGGGAGTTAATTTTGAGACAAGCCATGCTTCCTTTGCCCACTAGTAAGTGAGTTCAAAGAATATACAAGCAGCTGTCGGTAGCTAACTATCTACTTAGGTAGTTAGCTAAATAGCATAAATACTACAGGATATCTTCCTCATTGTTCCAATTCTTGTCAGCATATCAGTGATCCGCAGCGTTGGTTACCTTGGGGGACATACAATCTGTACAAAACTCTCATAGTGGTTGAGCTTCACCGCCCCAACTTCAACCTATAGTCCTCATCGATAACTACATTGACTGAATAATGCTCCCAGTCGAAATGTGAAGCCCGAATTTGAGATAACCCCATACCATGACCAACGAAAGTGGAATTCCGAAAGAAGCAGATCTTTCAGCCACAGATGCAAGAGCCTGGGACCAAAACTTTGGACGCGAAGCAATTCCTGTGGTCATCGTGCGAGGGGGGGAAATGGTAATACTGAATAGTAGTATGGCAGAAGAGCGTTACCTAGCTGCATCAAATGTATTTCAGGTGCGGCGGATAGCTAGCCAAAATTTTGGGGTACGCCGTATAACGAATAGGCATGATATAAAGACTCGAAAGCACACCCGCTGTTAACTTTTGAATCGAGTTCTGTGAAGCACCTGAATCATCTTTCATTGTTGAAATTGCTAGTTTTTATATCTAGTCAATATGTCCTCCCAGTCTTTAAGCTGGATACCTGTGACGGCTATATGGCATCTAGATATCCATGATCTAAGTCTTTTTGGACTCCTTCAACTGCTTTTTCTCTGTGGACTCATTTTGACTTTGGTTATTATCCTCATTGATCATGCGGATTACCTCCTCCAAACTTGGCCCGTTAGAAACCTCCATCGTGTAACCAGCCAAAACCTCCTTTGGGCGAGGTTTAGACGCCAGCTAAGTGGGCGTGAGTTGGAGGATGCCGTTCAACGCGCCTATTACAAGGTATGTCAATCTACTGAGGCAATTAGTTGGCTAAATTGATACATGATGTACTAATCATATATACTTCAATGTTCCTATAGTGCACCAAACAAGGAAAACCATTTGCGATAAAGGCCGACCTTGACTACTGGATGCTGATGCTCCCATTGGAATCCATGAAAGAATGGTGCAATCTTCCGGCCGACCACCTAAGTTTTATGAACTATGTCGAAAATGTACCAAGTCCTCTTTCATATCCTGTTATGCGCTGTAGCTTTTATTGTCCACTACTAACGCTTTTATAGGCGTCAGCTATTGGGTATCATACCAATGTTGACTGCCAAACACACATCAACGCAATTTTGGCATACAACCAGAAGAAACACACTGGCAAGTACACTTACCTTTGCTACCCGCTGAAAGGAATATACGCTTATTAACTAATCAAAACTGATTTCTAGATCACGTTCATTCCCTCATACTAGCGGATGCAGACGAGTTCCTACACCCGTTTTTTGGCAATCCAAGTAGCAAAGGTATCTATTCACAAACAGATATGTCCAAATAGATGTCTAACATCATTTAGAATGGACCAAGTTCAACCCAATAGAATTTGTCAGTAATCTGATGATGCACTATGCGACGTCCTTGGTCCTTGGGCCGGGTTTCTCGCGAGACCCCGTTCTCATGCAACATATAACTTCTCATGTGTTGGGAATCGAAGAGGTTATAAATGAATTTGCTCGCTGGCCGAAAATCTTATTCCCATTTCTCTGGAGATTGTCCCCTATTCACCGTAAATTTCGCTCGAATATCTCGGTTATTAGGAAGAAGGTCGTCCCAGAAATCAAACGCCGTGTTCAGCTTCTGCGACTTGGAGAGCCAACTGGCGAAGACATGAGTATGTTGACTATCTTTTTAAAGCAAGCTCTCAAAGAGGGCCTCCTTTCGAAGGTCAAGAATCCCAAGACGGATAAGAAGGACATTGAAAGCCTCTTTATGAAGACATTATTCCATATCTACGAAGTCTGGGGCCCTGTCACTCCACTCTTGAGTGCTATGTTTGTTCGCTGTATGGCAGACCCCGAGTACATCGATGTCTTGAGAGAGGAGATCTCAGGCTCGTTGGAATCTCATGAAGGATGGAGCTCCAATATACTAGCGCATACACCAAAGCTAGAAAGTTTCATGCGCGAGAGTTTGCGTTTGTACGCACCGATTTCAGGTAATCAAATCCGCAACTATGAGTTAAGCATTGACTAACTTCCTTACTAGTAAGCGTATCGCGTAGGTTGAATAAGCCGCTTAGAATCGAGTCCCTAAACCTGAACCTTCCAAAGGGAACTTGCATTGGAATACCTACGAAATGCGTTCATGGGGATCCGAAGAACTACCCGGACCCAACGAGATTTGACGGTTACCGGTTTTATGATGCGCATACCAATACCTGCACAACGCGTGCGTCAACAGCTTCAGAGAAATTCCTGGCGTTTAGCTATGGTACTGGGCTCTGCCCTGGCCGGTTTATCGGTGTGAAGGTGTGCGAAATTCTCTTGGCTAAAGTTCTTTTGAATTTTGATATCGAGTTTATATCAAATGAGCAAGAGTTCCCGGGGTATATTTTGTTGGAAAACACATGGTCATTGGTGGACACAAACTTGACGGCTCATGTACGAAGCCGTAAGTAAGGCCTACTGAACCACATCAGCCAAAAGTTGTATCACCTTGATACGGCCAATCATTCCGGCCATGTCAAGGTTAGAATGCGGTCAGGATAAACCTAGGAATAATGACAAGAGATATATCCAAATAGTTCAACTAATTACCCGCCATGGAGATTTTAACGCAGGGAGCAAAAATTAGGGTAGATATTGGTAATATTTTGACGACATTAGCACATAATCTTCAAGAGGGAGGTAACAGAGGTTGGGCACGGAAAGTGGGCGAGGGTTATTTTACATATTCCAGTGGGTACTCCATATACGGAGTAAACATAAAGTTATCTACCAAGCATTTGCAAGGAAGCTCGAAACTTTGAAACATTCTAAGGGTCATGTGACAGTATTAAAGTGAACCAATTACTAGATTAGTCATCTATAGAGGGTTTGATGGTGTGGGTCTGTGCATAAACCAACCTCGATAGTAATGATACTGAGCACGGTGAAGAGAGGCAAAGAACAAGTAAATATCTTTTCAATAAAAGGCATTAGGTTGTTACTTATACTTAGCCTCCCAAAACTTGCGATAGCTCTAGTGAAATAAAACTCTACAACCACACTGGTGGTACTCTTAGAGGGAAAATCGTTATCAGAATGCAAGCTTTCGGTGAGCACTTCTTTCCTTCACTACCCCGTAGGTTGGGATGTTAACAAACATTTGGGAGTGACTACTCGGAGACATACTGTTTATGGGTAAAGTTGCTAACTGTTACCTTCCCGCTGGACAGTTCCCAAGAGCAGGAGAGTATGAAATACCCAGCGATCCTACGCTCCTCTACTCTGGTTCACTGCTTACTTTGATAACATCTTAGCCCAGATTTACCCTGAGCTTACGTGTATGTATGCCTGGCTTCCCTGGATGTAGAGATTATTAATACACGCTACAGATAATTGATATGATCAATGTTCCCTTGGTCGTTGGTACTGCATACGTCAAATGGCAGCTACCAACGTCGGCTTCCGCTGATCACAATGGCCACACCGAAAAAGCCTTGCTTCATGATCACAGGGCATCCTGGGATTATGAGAAATTAACGGTTGTTAGACTAACAGTTGATCGGAATCAGATGCTGCAAGACTGTGACCTTCAGCTTGACATCTTCCAAGAGTTTACAGCAGGAAATCGGGCCGACAGAGTACCACTAGGAAATATTAAGCTGAACCTTGCAGAATATGTGGATAAGACAGAAAGTGATGAAGGAATTATGAGGCGATATCTGATGCAGAATAGCAAGATTAATGCTACCGTCAAAGTTGGTATCGCAATATCTCAAATTGAAGGAGACAGCAACTTTATTGCGTAAGTTTTACTCATTTCCAGCTGATATTTAAAGGAGCTAAAGAAGCAGTTATAGGCCACCACTTAAGCCCGCTACAGTATTTTCCGGCATTGCTGGTGTGATGTCCACTGAGCATGGCGAAATAAACAATGATGGCCACATTCCTTCAATAAATAACAGAGGTCGCGAATACAGTGATCTTCAAGATATGTATCGCTCCACTTTAGCGGCAGCTTGGGCGACTCTCCCCGATGAATTACCCCCGGATCAACTTATAGAAAACATCTTTGCTGGTGGAGATGGATTCCCCCAAAACTACCCACGACTCAAGGCGGAGGATGAATTTGAGGGAAATGATAATGATTCGCTCAGTGACACAGGCTCACATCGAACCATTCGCGATAGCAAGAATTCTCCTGACCATATCCCGAGGATTAAGGATCCCTTTACTACCCACTCGCGAAGCGATAGCAGACACTCGGACTTTTCATTCGGAGCAGCCGGAAAAGAAAGGAACGAAACAAGTGCTTTCGAGAGGTCTGGGGGGAAAAGACGAAAGAGAAAGACATTTACAGAGTTTGATTACAGGGAAGACCTAAGAAGCTGGGAGATTCCATGGGCTAAAGAAGACCCACAGTAGCAGATCTAAAGGAAGGCGGTCGAAAGTATCGCATCTATCTAACGTCTGCGAACATGGCTTCTGTTTGCTGTGTGGATTACTAGGGTATGAGTTCTAATGGGGGAGCTCTTATTCTCAATACATAATGAGTGTATTGGTGTATTCTTTATGAGAAGCGCAATGTGGCTATACAATATAACTTAGCCTCTGTATTCCGGTTGCATTACAGTATTTTAGCCTCTTTGTCTACTTATCTGCTTTTTCCATATAGCATCTAGACATTCAGTCTTAGCTGTGGTGTCCTAAAAATAGACTTCCTTCCCCAAACCTTAATTATAACTTAATTACGGAATAATGAAATTCCCGGTTACCTGCACCTGGGAGAGAAACCTTATTTTTATTTTCACTTCTGATAGAGCTCTCGTCCTCCAAAAGTCTTGCATCTAACATGTAGCCTCCTGCTCAATCGACTTGCACACTATACATATGTTTTGGAAAAGGGGCGCACATGTCACAGGCTACGTAAGATGCCGAAAATTTTCAAGCCCTCGGAAACGACCCTCGAATTCTTCCTTACACAAAGCCCATTCCACCAAACACATTCGTCAAGCAACTGACGATGACCCGGCTCCGGCATCAACAGAAAGCCCGACTCAATCGGCCGGCTCCCCCCACCGTATTCAACAGTTAGGGGATGTCAAGGTCTTAGGGAAACCAGCACATGTGGTCATAGTGGATAATAAGCCTCGTCGCCCCCGAGATGTCTTGCAGGCCGCCAACAACAAGAGTTCATGGAAAAGCCCGACAGAGTTACTAAAGGACCTGCATAAAGAAAGGGTTGAATTTGAGCTTGAAGAGGTGGAGAAGAATCTCGCTTACCTTCGCTCTCTATATAACCCAGGTGATAGTCTGTCGCTCAAGGACTGGGAGCATCTTCACGAGACGCTCGGTGATGGATTCACTTTTGAGCAATTAAGACAATATTACCAGAATTCCGAGCGAAATACTGAATGTGAAAAGTCAAGTGAATGGAGGGCTGGGAACTCAACTTACTTAGATCAGGCCCCAGCACCCCAAGGTCGAATTACAACGCGGATCCTAGCCTTCAAAGAGATGGGACCCAAGAAGAAATTGGTAGAAAAAATACTAAGGGAGTCTTGGGAATTATCAATTGATGGTGAAGAGGGGCAACTCGACGTTTATTTGGATCCAAGTCCAATGTCAGTGCTGCTTCTTCCAACCATGCCGCTTCTAAACATGTTCGCTGAATCTCACAAAGTCAACATTGACGTATCACGGCACCTTGGGTTAATCCGAATAACAGGCAGCAAGCAATCGTGCATAGGGACAAGTCAGCAACTTAAAGAATGGGCCTCTGATATCCGGTCAATGGATACTGGCCTCCCAGTTGCACAACTAAAAGCCGTTGCGGACTTGAGCTACTGGGAAAGTACTCTTCTCCCCTGGGTGCAAAGTGAATACAACGTATCATTCGATACCAGCTGGAATAAAGATGCGTTAAGTATCCACTACTTACATGGCACCGAGTCTAATGCGCACCGTGCCCGGCAAACACTATACCTAGCGGTATCTTCTGTCCATCAAATGGGTGGGCTATTTACAAATCTTAGCAGCTCTGAGAATGCACATTTATACCCTGTGACCTATCCGAACTCCATGAATCTTCCGGATCGACAAAAAGAATGGTTTAGATGGATAAAATCGGGAGATAGCAGCGGGAGGATTCCTGGCAGGCCCCCGGCTTCTATATATGGGAAAGGGTCCGTAAAACCTTTCCATAAGCTTCTAGATCTTCTGTTTGATAAGGAAGATTTAAGTAAGCAAAGCTTGCTTGGTCCACAGTGCACCCGCGAAGTTATTACTGCGTCTGTGGGACAGTGCTTGTTCGAAGGCAAGCCTCCGCAAGATTCTGGACAGGTATCTTTCCCTAATATTGAAAGCTCGCAAATTCCAAGGGTATTTATCAATGAAGTACCGAATACTCTTCCTTTTTTGGACTCTTTGGAAGTTGCCGCAAGCAACGTTAATAAGAGCAGCTTTCGTATCCGGCTTTTGCCCTCGTACAAGAAGCAGCCATTTCTACCAGAGCTAGAGCTTGAGTTGGAAGTCGCCACGCCGGAGGACGGTGAGGACATATCGACAACCCCGAAAATCCGGAATGTGAGCGCCATTATCAGCAGTAGAGATGTGGATATGCTGCTACCTGAGAGCCCCCTGGATATCCGGTTCAACAGGAAACTTTATTACAATCTCTTCGACCAGGGTTGCGCCGCATTTATTTCTGCTGAAGCGGATAATGAGTTTCATTCAAGCCTTAATCGATGTGCTGAATCCTTCAAAGTCAACCTCCCTCTCACTCGAAATCAACCTTCGATGCCTTTATTTTGTACCCTTGCGATCCCCAAGCATATTACCGAACTTCTCGATCCATCCAGAAAACTATCTCCAAGTGTACCAGCACAAAGCTCACAAGAGGGTGAATACATCATTGGAGAGTTTTGCGTCTACCCTCCGGTGCAGTCTCTTGCGGAAGCTGGCGTCTCCAAATATATATACAAGGAGCTTGGCCTCACCTTTGGAACACGGGACATGGGACCTTACCTTCCTTTGAAAACGACAGATATAAGTTTAACCCTGGGACTCCATGATGACGAACGGCGACCACAAAATGCTCTGCCTGATCGGAAACTGAGCTCCCTGCCAGAAACTGACTCGTCTTTTGGCTCCCTTCAGTCAGCACTACTGCCATTCTACCTTCGTTCGTGCCATTTAGCATTTGGGTTTGCGGCACTCCAGCAACAGCCCGACCAAGACATGCTTGACCAAGAACCGTTTGATGAAACACTGCTCAAGAAAAACATCAACCATCATGATACCTAGATCTGTACGGAGTAAATTCTTTTTATGTATTACTACTATTAGCCAATTTTATTCGTCGTTTCTGACTACCTACGTTTTTTGGGCTCTGCGTGTATCACGTGCCATTTAGATACCCTCAGGTAACGTAGTTACGAAGATTAGTATGGAGCATAATTGATACAAGGAAGAAAGTAACTCAACAAGTAGATCTATCTATCTTTTAACAAGTATGTTAAACTGAAAATGATTAAGACTGTTAAAAGAAATTTCAACTATAAAGGGCCTATAAACTTGGCTCATAAAGGAACACTTGCAACTTGAGAGGAAGCAAATCGCTGATAACGTAAGCGGCCACTTGATAGCCACTAGTTAACTCGTTGTCACTTGATAGTTTATCCTAACTTGTCTGATAACAATATCTGCTGTTTATTACCAGAATGAACTTTCAAGCCCTGGGCAAAATAGCCAATATTCAATAAATTATTATAAGGACCTGTCCGTTATTTATTGTTGAGGACTTTTCTTATTACTTTCTTTTCCTTTAGCTTACTCTACCTTTGAAACCCGATCCTGGCTTTATATTAATTACCTTACTGCCAACCACCTCACTTTGTGCTATACTAGCATGATATTGAGCCGATAGAGAGACTCTTTAATTACAGAAAGATGGATAAAACTAGGATAGCCAAGGTCCCTACTTCTTATCCCTCCCTTGCGCTCTTAATATACGTAGCTAACTAGGGAGCCTTATGTATTTCAGGTAGATGAGGTCACTCTATTCCGCCGGGGAGAGAAGGCAATAGGAAGTCTTCACCTTACTCCTCACCATATTGTCTTCTCATATATTCCACCCCAAAAAGAATCAACTGGAGAGCATTCCAAGGAAAAGCTGGCTGTGAGCCATAAGGAGATATGGATCACATATCCTATCATCTGTCTCTGTACCTACAGACCAGCTTCTTCTGCATCACGTCAGCCAGCATCAATACGCCTGCGCTGCCGCGATTTCAGCTTTATGTGTTTTACTTTTCCCAATGAGGCAAGGAGTAGAGACGTGTATGAGACTATAAGGACATGGACATGCAAACTTGGAAGCATAGAGAAGCTCTATGCTTTCACGTTTCAGCCTCCTGCAGCTGAGCTTGCTTTGAACGGGTGGGAGCTATATAATCCCCGCAAAGAATGGGCTCGTCTTGGAGTGGGCAGAGCAGACCAGGATTCTAACTGGCGAATATCCTGTATCAATACAGATTATAAGGTCCGTTCTATATATCCTTTCCCGTCTGTTCATCGTGATGTTAACCGACATTTACTTGAAAGTTTTCACCCACATACCCTGCCCTCCTCCCAGTTCCAGTCAATATATCCGATAATACAATAAACTACGCCGGGAGATATCGCTCAAGAGCACGGATTCCAGTTTTGACCTATCTTCACCCCGTCAACAACTGCTCCATAACACGCTCATCTCAGCCGCTTGTTGGCGTACGAAATAACCGCAGCATCCAGGATGAAAAACTTCTTGCCGCTATCTTTTCAACTTCCCGACAGGATCGCCCAGTAGCAAGCGCATCACCCCCATCCTTAGAGACAGAATCCTCCAACTCAAGCGCAGAAGAGCAGTTTGGAGCTAACTCTGACTTTGAGTTCTCAAATGCGGAGGAGCTGGAGGATGAAGTGATAGCAGCCGCTAGAAATGATATTAAGGACTATAAGACACAAATATATGGAGCCCAACAAAACAACTTAATCGTCGATGCTCGCCCTACTGTGAATGCCCTTGCGATGCAGGCCGTCGGGTTGGGATCCGAAAACATGGACAACTATAAATTTGCTGCTAAGGCTTACCTGGGCATTGACAATATCCATGTTATGAGGGACTCTCTTAGTAAAGTAAGTGAAGCGCTTAGGGATTCCGATATCAGCCCGTTGCCGCCAAACCGAGACCAGTTACTGAAAAGCGGGTGGCTCAAATACATCGCTGTCATTCTTGATGGGGCAGCCTTAATCGCCCGTCAGGTTGGCCTACAACATTCACATGTGCTTATTCATTGTTCCGACGGATGGGACAGAACTGGCCAACTCAGCGCCCTGAGCCAATTGTGTTTAGATCCATATTACAGAACTTTGGAAGGATTCATGGTTCTTGTTGAAAAGGACTGGCTTGCATTTGGACACATGTTTCGTCATAGATCAGGACATCTAAACAGTGATAAGTGGTTCCAAGTCGAGAACGATCGGGGCAGCGACTCTGCGAGAGGTGCTTTTGAGGGGGGAGTAGCCGGGAAAGCCCTCGAGAATGCTCTACTCAGCGCAAAAGGATTCTTCAACCGGGATAACGTGAGCCGAGAGTCGTTGGTAGAACCTGATGGTGACAAGGCCGAGCCGGACTCCTTAAGTGCAAAGCGGGCGACTTCCAATCCAAAATCACCAGTCAGTGATAGTGATATGACAAAACCCAAGGAAACTAGTCCTGTATTCCACCAATTCTTGGATGCTACCTATCAGCTTCTCTACCAACACCCTACTCGTTTTGAGTTCAACGAACGTTTTCTCCGTCGGTTGCTCTATCATCTCTACTCCGGCCAGTATGGCACATTCCTTTACAACAGCGAAAAGGAACGTGTTGATCGTGGAGCCAAAGAAAAGACTCGCAGTGTCTGGGACTACTTCCTAGCCAGGAGAAGCCAGTTCATCAACCCCGAATATGACCCTCTAATCGACGACAACAAACGCGGCAGCGAGCGTTTACTCTTCCCTCGCACATACGAAGTCAGATGGTGGGCTGAATCATTCGGACGTAACGATTCCGAAATGAACAACCCTCGCATAGCAAACAGCGGTGTTTTGGTTGAAAGAGACTGCCCGAGTGGATCGATGACCCCCATGATTGCGGTCGAAACTTCTGATCGCTCGGCTGCCCCCGCTACTGTCTCCCAGCAGCCAGCGGCATCTCAACCAACTACGATCGGCCCTACAACTAGTATCACCTCTCTTGCGGCTAATATATCTGGTTTAAGTTTACCTGTAGGGAAAGGGGACCATCCTGGGCCAACCAAAGCACGAGAGATGGAGGCGGTAGAAATGACGTAGACAGCAAATTATGGTGGACATTTCGGACACATTTCATAGGAGAATCTAGGCGTCTCTTAAGGATCCGAGCAGTTATCTGGGACTACGTGTTGCATTTGGGAGTTGGGATTTTGTTTTGACACTTTCGATACCACGACAATTATGATTGGGACTGCGTTCAGGGAACGTGGGCTGAATGCCTGTTACTTCTAATGAGTCATGTCACAATATTTCCTGACCTTTGGCATTTTCTTCGTTTTGGTTTTTGTTTCCGCTTACGTCGGGCCTGCAGTAAAAAGGGCCTTTAGAATGGGAAGGAAATTGAATATATGATCTTCAAATACCGTTTTGATGCCTTTTTCTTTTTCTTGTAATAAGTCAAGGTTTGAGCATGTGACTCTCATTCTTAGTAATCTTGAAAAGTAACTAGCTTAGCCCTAAGCCCTAAAGTAGAAATTATGCCCCCACCACCAAATCGACAAATTAGGAAAGCTAACCGCAATACTTTCGAGGTGTGTCTGAAAGTTGAACATCTCGAATCGCCGCAACAGCAGCTGCAGTCCAACGATCTCAACTCCGGCGGATATCTCTCAGCCTTCACTAAACGAAATCACACGTTTCGACAGACCGCAATCATGTCTGCAGCTGTACAGGGAGCCATCTCCAAGCGCCGCAAGTTCGTGGCCGACGGTGTGTTCTACGCCGAGTTGAACGAGTTCTTCCAGCGCGAATTGGCTGAGGAGGGCTACTCCGGTGTCGAAGTCCGTGTGACTCCCACCGTTACCGACATCAGTACGTTGTCCTTTGCAGAAAAGTTTTCCCCTATCACTTGGCTTTTGCGAAAGTATGGCAGGGACGTATTAGTGCCGAACGGGCCAGGCGAGGCGAGCGTGGGATTGACGATATCACATACGATAAAAGAGCTACGATAAAGGGACAAAGTCATGTAAGGACGACGAAAGCTAACAGCTATGCCTCACTGAACAGTTATCCGTGCCACCCACACCCAAGAAGTCCTTGGTGAACAGGGCCGTCGCATCCGTGAACTCACCTCCCTCATCCAGAAGCGATTCAAGTTCCCAGAGAACTCCGTCTCCCTCTATGCCGCTAAGGTCCAGAACCGTGGTCTCTCTGCCGTTGCACAGTGCGAGAGCTTGAGATACAAGCTTCTCAACGGACTGGCTGTCCGAAGAGCCTGCTATGGTGTTCTCCGATTCATCATGGAGAGCGGTGCTAAGGGTTGTGAGGTCGTTGTTTCCGGAAAGCTACGAGCTGCTCGTGCCAAGAGCATGAAGTTCACTGTACGTTTTTCAGGGGCTCAAGTGAAAAGAATAAAATTGAGAGAGAGTAGAGGACTAATTGGCCAAATCTGTGTTTGTAGGACGGTTTCATGATTCACTCCGGTCAGCCAGCTCGCGACTTTATCGACCACGCCACTCGTCACGTTCTCCTCCGCCAGGGTGTCCTCGGTATCAAGGTCAAGATCATGCGCGGTAGCGACCCAGAGGGCAAGTCCGGTCCTCAGAAGTCTCTCCCCGACTCCGTCACCATCATCGAGCCAAAGGAGGAACAGCCAGTCCTTCAGCCAATGAGCCAGGACTATGGAGCCAAGGCTGCTGCTGCTCAACAGCTTGCCGAACAACAGCGGCTGGCTGAACAAGAACAGGAGGGCCAGGGTGTAGAGGGTGAGGCTGCGGAGCCTCAGGAGTAAAAAAACAACAACAATAAATGAAGAAAATATGAGCGACCTCGGTTTTATGATTTGTTGCAACGGGATTTCTCAGTTATTCTAATTTATTTTTGAACTCTTTCATCACCCTTTCCCAAAATTTCAAACCTTTGTTTTAATTATTGAAATAGAATTGAAATGGATGTGATGAATGACATGTTCAAATTGGAGTTTTCTATTGTTTAAGGCACCCTGCTATAAATGTGTCTATGTTTACTCCCTAAACTTAATTGAGAGCATGGTTAGTGCTACTAACTGGTAGCATCCAACATCGTAGGGAATGAAGGCTGGTTTGGAAGTTTCATAATGTATACTATGCATTGATATCATTGTACCTATACCTACTTTCAACGAAAAGGCATATAGAGAGAGGGCTTCATAGAAGACTTTCAATGTTAATTTCCAGGGCGCTCACGGGATACTTCAAGTCAAAATTGTCAAGAACCGTTGGGTGTAATATGCCGAAGGAACCAATAATGCTCTCCTTTCCATCCATGCGTAGATGTACAGAGGCAGCGTGGCCAGGGAAATAAGTAGGATCTGCCAGACGTCAATGTTAGCGTAACTAGAAGATGCATATACGTTTTCAAGATCAGAAGGTTCTTACCATTGAGCTCCTCAATCCAATACTGAGAACCCTTAACAGCAGCGTTGTCCAGCCCTTCCTCTCCAACAATAAAGGCACTTTTCATCATCATCATGACCTTGTCTAGCAGGCCGTGAACAACCTCGAAACCACTTGTTTTCCCATACCAGGCCGCAGCAAAATGTCTTTCGTTGCGACTCTTCCTCTCAAGTGAGAGATCTTTGAGTCCTACATCACTAACTTCGAAAATCTTTATAGGTAAGCTGTGGTTCTTGTTTTCACGGATTGTTTTCAACAAGCCTGGCATGAGGCTTGTTCGGACAACCTGAAATTCAACTGTTTTGGGATTGGCGAGCTTGATAGCCGTCTTCCCATCATCTTTGCGGTTAACCCAGGCAAAGTTCTCATCGTGTGAGCATAGAGCAAAAGTGAGCACTTCCGTCCACCCTGCCATTGCCGCTTCTCCTCTAATTATGTCACCTAGCTTATTGATTGGAAGAGGTTGGGCAATTGTGCCAGATTTGCTAGGGAAAGATTTAGGAAGTTCGTTAAAACCATGTGCAATGGCAATATCCTCCATAATATCAGCTTGATGAAGGACATCCGCTCGGGTGACTGGGATAGTAACATCAAGAGTATCTTCGGATTTCTCAGAAACCTTGGCAGAAAGTGACATTTTCTTGAGCAATTGACAGGCATCTGGGCCAGAGAGGGATAGACCGGTGCATCGATTAATGTAAGATATGCTAGCCTGTGTTGTCCTTGGTTTAAGGGTTGGAGTTTGTCGTGATTCTTTATTGTGTTCAGAGACTATTTTTATGGGCTCAATTCTAGCAAGAACTAGGTTAGCTTTGACTTGAGGTTGTGAGGGGGCAGTGTAGAACAATTAACGTACGTGAATGGCTCATCTGTGCACTGAGAGAACATGGTAACCATGATGTTGTTCACGACTTCTAGTTTTGTCTTATCCGTTGCAGTAATCTCCATGAAAACATTGCGAGTATCCAATGTTATTTTTGAATGGTCCCCATTGATTATTGGCGGTAGGGAGCAGACGGTCCTTTTAGAATCATAGATAACTGGGTATAAGGGCGAATCACGGATAATATGTAAATATTTGCCAAGGTTTTTGTCCTTTTCATAGAATTCCATCAACTCTTCGCCATCCATGCACTTGGTCTGGTTTAAAGGAGTGAATTTGATCTCCTTTGGGGGCAACGCTTCGTATGTGAAGGGGCCTTGAATGGTGTCAAGGTCGTGTGTTCCAATGGACACCAAAGTCCTTTGTCTGGCAATGTTCTGGTGAAGTTTGTCCTGTAGGGCGATGAAGGAATTGTACCGTGCCTGGTCAAAACGAATATTGCGGAAGACAGCACCCACCACATAAGGTCGTACACTTTCAGTCTATAAATTGATCTGTCTCAGCTTCTGATATCTGGCTTCCTCGAACTGATAATGATTGCATTCAGTCTCACCTCTGGCTTGATAATGAGGGTTTGTAGCTCTCCGCTTGGTGGGGTGACTACTCGATAATTCGGTGATTCGGCTCTTCCGAGGAAGATATTCAGCATCAGGGATAAACCCTCGAAGCATAGTAGGTCATAGCTATATAATAGGTCAAAAACCGCATTCATCTATACTGGCTGGGGCAGCGAGACAAACCGATTGGCGGGAATTTCAATTTTGAGCTGCGGGGGTTCCTGGACGCCGTTCACGTATGGCCGGTCGCAGTCGGTGGTCTATGCAATTGTTACAGGATGGTCGAGCTGGTATGTGTAATATAAAGGGAGAAGTCTCACATCTTCTTCGAGCTCAAGGCCTGTTTGGATATACGTTAGAGATATATTCCGTAATTCCACAGGGATAACTCGCTGATAGTGGGGGTGACTCACCAAAGTCGAAGCACAGCTGGTCGAACTCCTCGGTGGTGTATCTAACAGTAGAGTATCAGTTGGTATAAGCCCTTATAGCTGATATATAACAGAGATAGCAGCCGCAAAAGGGGGTAGAGGGGGAGTCTTTACTCTTTACCCAGCGCCTTGCACAGGGCCGCCTTATCAACAGTGACCATAGGCATCCTGGGCGCTGTTTTCTGGTCAAATCCGCTAACGGGACAGACAATTGAGAAATAAAGCTTCAAGAAAAGGTGTCTGACCCTCTTTAACCGCTTGCGACCTCTGTAGCCTGACTGCAAACAGCTATCAAAGAGAAAAGAAGGAGCCTAAGGAGGTAGAAGAAACAGAGGAAAGATATGACTCCTTTTGGGTTCAGTTTTGGTGGACTTAGTGAGCCGCACCGCCACAGCTCCCTTCGCTCTCTCTCCTCACCAGCCACACTCCCGCCGTCCACCAAGTTCTGCTTTTGCTCTAGTAACGAGCGAACGAACATTCACCATCTTCAATCAACAAGCTGACCACGACCATCGCTGTCGAACGCCGGAAGTGAATCTGAGCAACTTGATCTCTCACATCGCCCTCTGTCAGACAGCCTCGTCCCCGACCAGCTTCCATAATACAGAGAGTACGTCTTAACGCAGCCCGCCGCCGCTGTCTGCCTCGTTTTATGGGCGTCTTGTCTTTCACCCCACGAGACAGCAACAAAACATCCATCAAACGCCCCTTTCTCTCGCCTCTTTTCACAACATCCTGAAATCGTCAGCTCTCGTGGCCGGGTGGAAACACGATAAATTAACCAGTCCAGCTCTATAGTAGCTCTCTCCGATACTCACTTCTCGCCGTCTCCCTGAACGAACGACTATCATTACCCCCCGTTTTGTCGCCTGCTTGATAGCACATCGCATAACCCTTTCGTTGAAACAACCACCAAGGCACGCCCACAGATAAACAATAACCGTTCTTGTTTGTATAACAATTCGTTTCCGCCATGGAAGGCCAAGGCGAAAATGACGAGCTCTATCCCATTGCGGTCTTGATCGATGAGCTAAAGGTATACACAGCGAATCTTCGAAACCCCTGGCGCCCCTCTGGCCAACAAGAATTTCGGCTTACTGACGGTCTCCGGTGTATGGTATAGCACGATGATGTGATCCTCCGTCTAAACGCAATCCATCGACTTTCAACAATTGCTCTTGCCCTCGGACCGGAGAGAACGCGAGACGAGCTTGTGCCGTTCCTTGACGGTTCGTGAAGATCTCCCCATTCCCTCTTTACACCCTGCTTGGGATACTGCGTTTTTTTGATAGGCGAACCATGTGATTGATAATATCTACTGCTTAGACTCAGTTGAGGATGAGGACGAAGTTTTGACAGCTTTAAGTGAAGAGCTTGGGAACTTTGTGGAATACGTTGGCGGGCCAGAATATGCACACGTCCTTTTGTCTCCCCTCGAGCATTTGGCAGCCATAGAGGAGCCATTGGTACGAGAAAAAGTAAGATTACACCAAGCTTTCACGTCCATTAATCTTCACACGGGACAAAACATTTAACATGGTAATGCTTTTCTTCCCTGCTAGGCTGTAGAGTCCCTCAACAAGATCTGCGAACAACTCTCCCCGAGGCAGATCGAAGACAATTTTATACCCTTGACAGTCCGCCTCTCAAAGGCAGACTGGTTCACTTCCAAGATATCTGCAGCTGGTCTCTATTGTACTCCCTACAGAACTGCCTCTCCGGCCCTGCAGCAAGGACTACGACAGCAGTTTGGGCAATTAGTTCATGATGATACCCCCATGGTTAGACGGCAGGCTGCCAACAATCTAGCTAAGTTTGTGAAGGAGATGGATTCTCAGGCTATCATAGTGGAGATGGTTCCTCTATTCCAGAACTTGGCAAATGACGACCAGGACAGCGTTCGACTTTTAACGGTTGAGATTTTGATCTCTATAGCAGAGGAAATTCCCAAGGAGCAGCAGTCCAGCCATGGTGTCCTTCTCACTGCTCTGCGAAATCTGTTTGAAGATAAGAGCTGGAGAGTAAGATACATGGTTGCAGATAAATTTGAAAAGGTAGCTCCCTTTAGTCAAAATTTCCGTAGGACATGATTTCATCACAGATATAGCTGACACCTTATAGATCGCAAAAGCTGTCGACGAGGAAGTTGTCAACCGCGACCTGGTCCCAGCTTTCGTCAAGCTCCTCAAAGATACCGAAGCCGAGGTCCGCACAGCCATTGCTGGGCAGATCCCAGGTAAGCCTTGCGCCACCAAAAATAGCCCATCCATTTCAAGGCTAATACAATTCCAGGTTTCTGTCGACTCATTGACCGTGAGACCCTATTAAACGAGATTATGACAAGCATCGAAGATCTCGTGTCAGATCAGTCCCAGCATGTAAGAGCTGCATTGGGTATGCAAATCAGCGGATTAGCCCCTATTCTAGGGAAGGAAGAGTAAATATGTCCATCTTACTTCGATTTTCTAGATTCCTTATCTAACAATTGCTTGCCAGGACAATTTCACACCTCCTTCCAATGTTCTTGCAGATGCTAAAAGACGAATTTCCCGATGTTCGACTGCACATTATCTCCAAATTAGAGCTGGTGAATAAAGGTATGCACCCCCTCTTCTCTCCTAGGCAACACAAAGGTTAGCATACTGAGTTACCTAACTTCCTAATATAGTTATTGGAATTGATCTTCTGTCTCAGTCTCTTCTCCCTGCGATTGTGCAGCTCGCTGAAGACAAACAGTGGCGTGTTCGTCTTGCAATTATTGAGTATATTCCTCTTCTTGCCAGCCAGCTAGGAGTCAAGTTTTTCGATGAACAGCTCAACAGTCTATGTCTTGGCTGGTTAGGAGATGCAGTATTCTCAATCCGAGAAGCAGCTACCCAGAATCTCAAGAAACTGACAGAGGTATTCGGCGTTGACTGGGCCAATGGCTCCATAATTCCAAAGGTCACAGCTATGGGACAACACCCTAATTACCTTTACCGAATGACAACCTGCTTCGCCATCACAGTAAGTTTTACCCGTCTTACAGCGTCCCCTGCTGCCACATCTAACCTCAAGAATTTAGACGCTTGCCCCTGTCATCAATCTAAAAATGATTGAGACTTCGATTCTCCCAATTTTGGATAGGCTCGTGACAGACGACATCCCCAACATCAGATTCAATGTCGCAAAGTCATACTCTGTCATAATAGACACCCTCCGAAAGCTCCCAGATGAAGGCACTCTCAGCGAGGCCGATAAATCTGAACAGGCAGCCACTCCTTCTCCCCGTGGCCAAACTATCATCCAACAGCAGATTCTTCCAAATCTTGAGAAGCTACAGCAGGACGATGACGTTGATGTGCGGTATTTCGCAACCACTGCTGCCGGAAGCTATGGTGAAGTGATGCACACGTCTCCTTAAATCCTTCTGACATAGAAAAAAAAGAAAACCGAAAGAATTATGCCACACCCCCTCACACAGCCCTTGAATCCCCACACATTTGATCTTTGTCTTCTTTTTGCTCCGCTATTTCTGTCAAATTCTTCTTGACTTCGCCCCTGGTAAATGAGAGATATTTCATCGTTGAGTTGAGATCGTTCTCCGGTTTGGGTTGAGTCTGGGAATTGATGGCACTCGTGGGCATATTAGAGCATGAATTACCATATGCATCCGTTGCTCGTTAACATGAAAAGAAAATAAATAAAACACTAGTTTATTCTGTTTCCTGCCCTTATCTTAATGTAAAATATCATCACCTAACTTGGGGTTGGTGATTCAGTTCAACCGTAGCGAGGCAGGTGAGAACATCACATATTGAACGATGATAGATTTGCTTTGGTAGCTGACCAAGTTTGTTCAAAGATTAATGCCTACCACAGACAGACAGCTAAGGCCCCCCGCCTTTATTGGCCTTGAGCTTACTACCAGGACAAATAATAACCTTATTAGCGCTAAGATATATCACTATCTACATACAAGCAGTTTTTATCCTAAGTCAAGGAAACTCGATAGTGTATAGGAAAGTAGGACTAAGGGCACTCAGTATCCAAAGACTAACACATCAGGAACCGGGTTATGGAGGCACATCCTAGCATCCACGCTTTGGAGATGTTACGGATCAGAGCCACCTGCTCCCATACGGCAATCTCATTTTGCATTCAGCTGGTATCTGACAACACCATTGCTAGCAGTTTCCTGTGGCTTAACGTCAAGATGTCTTTCCAGGAATCGCGACTGACGCCGCTGAAGTTCCTTTAGTCGTTGTATCGGGTTCTGTAAATTTCCAGTATAAGTAGCTGGCCTGAAGGAGGGATATAAATGCATTAACCGTGAGACCCACCCATTCCGCCTGGCTAGGGACACCTTCAGCAGCCGGGAGTTCTTCATTTTCCCAGTTATCATCGGCTGTTGAAGAGGTACTCGGTCTTCTCATGACTAGAGCTGGTGTGACGGCCGGGCTGGGTACGTCATGTTCCGGCGGATAATGCGTTTGGCGCAGACTCGATTTCCTGGCTGGAGATTTTAATCCAGTGGATGACTTTCTGGCATGCGTAGATCCTGTGATAACCGATACGCCCGCCCGACGTGGTTTTTGAAGTGAGCGCATGTACTTTTCGATTTCGGGCACATCATCCCAGGCGTTGTTCCTGGAGTACGATTCAAATCCGCTGGCGGGGCTCCCGTTCGTTGAGGGAACACCTTGCCGGGCTGAGGGAATCGCAAGCTCAGGCATTTGACCAAGTTCGGAATCCTCCCCTATAAAGACCCGTGTCGGGGCGGGGGCCTTTTGCTCCCAAGGGAAGGCAGATGTTTGCCTTCGAGCTGCAGGGGCTGTTGTTGGAACTTGATAGTACATATTTTTTGGAGCATCGGGGTATGATTTGGGAGGCTGGAAAAGTTCTGTATCCTTTGACATTGTGTAGACCTGTACAGGGAATGAGGCTGCCTCTGGCTTTGAGTCAACCGGCGGTGGTGCACTACATATATTAGAACCTGCTGGCGGGTTTTAAGGGCTGAGCTCTTACCGTGATGCATCCCATACTGCTAAGGGTGGAGAGAAAGTGCTTTCAGGCGGTTGCATTTCCGCAGTACTTGAGGGAACATGTTCATCTTTCGTTACGGTTTTATCACCAACAGATTGGCCCTCTCCTACGTCTCTCGTTAGTATTTCAGATTCGTGCGACTCGGCTGTTTCTTGACCTTTCGGCCAAATGGTTTGGTAAGGCTGTTGTGCGTTGACAACTATATGGGGTACATGGGTTGGTATATTGGGTGGCTCTCCGTGGTAAATGGGAACTGTGATATGTTCTTCTCCGCGAACGTAGTGAGGGACAGCGCTAATCATCGGCTTGGGTGGCGCATCATAGCTTGGTTGGACCCCTTCTTCTAGACTAGCGGCATCAGGCGCCTTGGGCGAAACGCTACCGACATCATGTCTAGTAAAGTGTTCGTCTTGAGGAATGGTATAAGCCTCTTGAACTTGCTTGCCAGGAGTCACTGTTTCATGGGGCCCTCTAACTGGCTCATGTTGACTTATTGTCATGACTTGTGTATGCGTGGCGGTTTCTGCATGCCTCTCTTCGCTCTGTGCAGGAGTTTCCGTTTCAGGGGCCGGCGAGAATGTATGTTCTACATACAAGTTCTCCCTGTGTGGATGTCCTGCTGTTTCCCAAACCTTCTTTTCAGGTACCGAAGCTTGTGCCGTTTCTTGTGAGATAGTGTGAGTTTGGTGGTAACGAGACTGAGTGATATAAATAGGGCCTCTCCGGTAATGACGGTCATACACTGCCCACCACTTTGCCAATAACTGGCTATATGGAGAGTCGTGCGGCGATGTGCCTCTCCCGATCCCCCATGGCTTTAGAGAGCCGATAAAATGGACTAGTGAGATGGTGCTTTCAAAATACTTATATGCGGGTACGTATTGATAGTGCCCGCTAGGTGTACAGTTGTACGTGAAGCTGAGTCTATCCCAATTTTTGAAATGCATGTTCAGGAGGCCTTGATCGGCACCATCAAAACTTATGCCGCGTTGAGCGAAGGCAAGTAGAGAGTAGTAATCTTGGAGATTTGGTCGTAGTACCATGACACCAGTGTTGAAACAGTCAGGCCATCCAATATCTGGCACAGCTGCTATTGTTTTGACATCAAGCGTAAGAAGCTCGTCAGGAGCCCGAAGAGCAATCACGTCCGCGTCTATATAGACGATCTGGTCGTACTGTGTCTGTTTCCATAGAGCTATTTTTGAAAACGTAGAGATTAGGTCAGGACGGTCCATGAGATAAAGGTTCCCTGGGTATGCATTTTCTATCCGAGGAATTGGTATCACATCATCATACACGGTCTATACAGTGGTAGTCAGCAGTACGAACTTTTTTTTCTCTTGCTTGATCGAACTACCCACCTTCAACTCATTAATTATCCCAGGTTGTAAGGTATCTGGCGTTACTAGCACAGCCAGTCTTCCCTTCGTCCCGTTATCCCGCAGGGAATGGGCCAGGACCATAGCACCTAGTAGAAACCATCAACAAACTATCACGGAGTAGGTTCAACCCTGCCACCTTGTCACTGACCAGGAAGGTAGTTGTCGCTCAGAAGGATCTATATGCGACAATCAGCAAGTCAGTACTTAATATATGATAGCTCATCTTGGTCGTCTGGGTGAGATCAAACCGTGCAGTAAACAGCTCCATGGCTGGACATCGTTACGCAACCCACGACGAGCTGCTCCGAAAGCAGGCTCTCCTTTCGTTCGTTTATTTAGTGAAGATGGAGGGCAACCATCAATGAGCAAATGCTGAAATGAATAAACCACAGCGAAATAGGGAGAAATAAAGAGAGAGAGAGAGAGAGTCGGAGGAAGACGACTGTTGGTGAAATAGCTGGTGGGAAGCCAAAGCTAGTTGCGCAAGAACGGAGTAGCCACTCAGTTAACTATTCTGCCGCGCATCACCGGCTTAGAAGAGCTTCTTCCAACGACATCCGATTTGCATCATCCGATAGCAAAATGGAATCAGACTTCCTCCAAGGGCTCACTCAGAACGCCGTTGGTCAGTGGTTAGAAGAGAAGGAGAGGAGAGGAGGGAGAAGAGTCCGCGCGATAGAGGACGGCTGGAGCTCCAAGAAACCAGGACCAGTGCTCTTGCAAGCTTTCCCGGCTTTGCGGCCTTTTAATCTCATTCAACCGCATCCTTGCCAGCCAACAAGCGATCCTGTCAGGCCTGCGCAATATTGCATATGATAACAAGCGAGGGGGTATGCAGAGCGCCTGCACCGCTCACAGCTCGAGGATTGCTTGCTGCTTGCTAGCTGGTAGCTGGCTAGCTTGGTAACTTCTCGTGGAGCTTGCTGTGTTGCACCAGCCGGCGGAAATGAGCCTATCATCTGTGTTACGGTTTGCCAGCAGTTGGCTCGTTTACTTGCCACAGCTTTCTACAATTAAGATATCTGCAGCGGTGTGGATAGCTTCGATGGAGATTTTACTAGTTATGTACCCCTATGCGGGCGCTAGCTAGCTAACTACAAGGCCAGCTATCCACTTCGAAGCTGAGCTTGGCCGCGGTGTTTAGCCATGGAGCTGCCTTCGTGTCTGGGAAGCAATCCAAATGAATGTACGGAGTATAGTTACATGTATTCCGATGAGAACTATATACTATCAAAACGGAGTACAGGTATTATGCCAACGCCTGGAGAAAAAGCAAGAACGAACAAGAATCGGAAACAGAACGCTCACCTCGCACTAGGTTTTCAACGATAACTTAACACCGGTCACGCTTTCCCGCTTTGCCTCGCTTATATCTTCGATCGTGTTTAACAGCAAGATGAAAACTGACAATTAAATAAAAAGAAACAGAGGGGCATCATCCATAGCAAGAGGAAGGATATGAGATGGTTTATGCAGTCTAGCAGCAGTAGGCCTTCCCAACTTGCTATTCAACTGGTTAACTAGTTACTTATCGGCGAGCGGCCACTCTGGCTTCAGGATACACAGACGAGACAGCTTGGCCAACATCGCCTGTCTCACCCTTGACGGCCCATAGTACTGCTTCTTCAAATGCTCCTCTGCTCTCCACTTCCATGGGCGTGAAATGGCCAGATCGAGGAAGCACAACTAGTTGACTTCCCTGGACAAGTCGATCGGCTATTCCATCCAGGGCCAGGTGATTATCGATCGCAGGGTCTTTCATGCCCCATAGGACTGTGGCGTTTGCCTTTAGAGCCCCAGGGGCAGGGTCGAACACGCCTGTCCCGCAGCTCGTTCTTCGACGTTCGTCAGGACAGATACTATGCAGGGCAGAGATAGTTTCCAAAGATTTTTGCCAAGGGTCTGACACTGCTCCTTGCCGGTAGTATGATGTTGCGTCCTTGAAGTTCCCCTGTTTAGCGCGTATGCGGACAGATTCAGAGTATGTTTCTCCATCGGCCGTCTTGGTTTTTAGCTCTTCGATGCTGGGCCCAAGAGTGCCTGCCATGGCTTCCTGTGCATCTCGGACGGTAAACTCGCCGGTTTTCCCTGCAGCTAGCTCGTGGATCGCCTTTAAAAACGAATAATTGCCTCCATGGCCCAGGTAACGAACCAACGGCATGGGAAGGTGGAAGACAAACACATACTGGGAATACTTTAGTTGACGGAGTACCGGAGCCAGGGCCTTGAGAGACTTGCACAACACATGCCGTGAGCGCCATGGTTCTTTAAGGAAAGTCTTGAACATCTTATTGGCAGACTCGATCGATAGATGGATATTATCGTTCATCAAGCCAACCTGTTGCCATGGAAAAAGCATCATATTAGCACACTGGAAAGATGAATCAGGATACTTGTGCATACCAGGACCCCATTGGAGATGATGAACCTATCTGCCAGCTGGGGGGCTTCTGCAGCCAGACGAAAAGCGAGTATCGCTCCCCAGTCGTGAGCTACTATAATAACTCTCCTCTTGGTTCGGTCATTACCATCATCGACTTTATATTGGTCTCTCACGGTGATTATAAACTCCGTCAACGTCTCTAGGATTTCGGTAGGGCCGTATACGTCCAACGAGTCCGTTCCACCGTACCCTGGCAGGTCTGGTGCAATCATCACGCTTTCGTCTCCAAGAGAGCTGGATGAGAGAAGATGCCGCCATATTGGCCAGCTATCCGGAAACCCATGCAGGAATATGACCAACGGCTTGTTCCCAGTATTCGAGGCGACGGTTTCATCATCAGGCGAGACGTTTGTAAGATAGTGAACTTTGAACCCATTACGCAAAGTTATGAACCGATGTGAGAAATTCTTCCAATTCTTCGAGAGGTTCCAGAATCTATCTGATGCTGTGCCCAGAGAAAGCCCGTGTTAGCTATCCAAGAAAATAGCCAGAGCACCCAGAAGCGGAAGATTAATCAACCAACCCCTTCTTCTCCTCTCCTTTTTTTGTGCGGTAATATGGAGGCCTCCAGAAAGAAGGGATGTTCACTCATACGAACCGAGTTGAAACTCCAACCGCTCTTTTTCAGTGGTTTTTCGGAAAGGCACACCACTGACGATGGCAATAACTGCGTATAGCACCAGCGTAAATATACCATAAGTAAAAGAAAAGATGGCCACTGCCACCTTCAACGCTCCATTGGCCATGTTGACAGCATTCGCCTCCGGTATCTATCGAAATATCAGAGAAATGGCCTTATTACTAGAGCAAAAAAGCAGCTACGTGTATGGTCGGGAAAGGCCTCTTTTATAGGCTGCACTTGAGCCTGATGTGTTAACATGGGTTATTTAATTGCTAACTTGGATCCTTTGAGAGGATGGCTGCTTAGTCAACCGGTATTGACGTAATAGTTGGATATCCGTAGACGTTGACGACGACCCTACCATTTGTTTGCAAACCCTGAGAACTTGTCCTTGTGGAGCACATTTGCTTATATTCTATGCAGCCGCTCAACCAATTAAGACTGACCTGCAAACCTAGAGGATAGAAGAAAGCCGGGGAATACTGACATTGGCTCTTCCCTTGACCTCGACTTTCTAAATCGAACACGAACCAGGGTATAGGAAACTTGTAATCAGGCCCTCTTATTCTGAGGAAGCGCCCAAGCTGGAAGAGCCCTGGGAAGTGAAATAAATCTCCATGACCAGTAACTTAAAGCCCATCCTTCATAGCAAGAGGCCTTAGTAATATAAGAGATGTGCCTGGACAAGAAAAGGCTTCCACACAAAAGGGAATGGGAAGATGATCCACCAAAATCCCATATGATGCAGCTCGTGTGAATATCAAGGTGTGCGGAGTCTCAGAGAGAATTCCCCAAATCTTCAGTGTAGAGTCTAGTGTGCGGCGTTCCATACCATTAGTTATCGAGGCGGATGGGCCGATAAACCGAAGATGCCTAACCAATGGATAAGAAGCGCGTTCCGGGCCTTTCGTATTCTACCAGGAGGACGTGGTGGATGTTATTTTGCCGAAGACAAGTTATGAAAGTATAATGTGATGGATAGGCTATGGATGGATGGACGGCCTCGTGGGGTGTGTGTTAAATATAATAGTTGGCATTAGAGGAAGCAAATGCCACCAAGTCTATATTCAAGAGTAACAAGGGTATAAGTCGCCGAAAATCTAATAATACAAGGCGGTTATTTGCCCAAACGGAGAAAAAACAATGTAACAAGAAAGGGAAATAGAGGGAAAGGGAGGAATACTTATATAAAGCCGCCTTTTATGAGGCGAAAAGAAGAGATTAGAAAAAGAGACATAAAAAAAACGACAATTATAAAAAGATAATAATAAAATACCAAAGCCGTCCCACTGCATATATTATGATTTTTTAGCCCATTGAAAAACCCAATCGTTCACGATTATCATCGATGACTCTGCCGTATCTGTAGCTTGTTGTTAGTACTGGCATTTTGTAATGGTTACAGGGCACCTTGGGACTCACTCTAATAAAAGCCTGAAAAACCACACCTCAAGATCTTCGTTGCGTAAAACTTTTCGTGCCCATTTCTGACTGTCTTGTGCAATAGTGATTGCCTTCTCTTTGCCTGCATCTTCTTGTACAAAATAACGGACTGATTCGTAGTGGTCGGTTCCTCTGAGACTGAGGGGAATGAAATGGACCCATGGCCGAAGCCACTCGTCGTGCCATTCTCGGAACAGAGCAAGCTTGTATACTAAACTCTTGCTTAGTAGGAAGGCATAGTATCGTCCGCTGAAAGCGTTTCCGTCAATGTCAACAAGGTACTTGTACTTCCATGCATCTTGCTGCTTGGCTGGCTTGACGATGTTGAAGTATTCCATTTGCGCCTCGCAGTCCTCCGGATCGCATTGGCCAACATGACTGAAGCTCACGTTGAATAGGGATCTCAGGGCGCTCCGCTGGATCTGCTTCACGGCCCAGCGGCTGGTCTCCAAACTCTTCTCAAGAACATTTGTGGGGCTAAGGCTGTTGATGTTGCGTACAAAGAGCTGACGGTGCTGTCTGCGCCATCCGCCTGCTCTTGAGAAGCCGCCGGTCGTTGAACCACGCCAGTACATCTGGTCTTCCTTGGCGGCCCAGTCCATGTCTTGATTTGCGTCGTAGGCCACATTCCCATTCCAGTACCAGGGGCTTGGGTATAGAATATCCTGAAACGAGGAAACTTTGCTTTGCGAAAAGATGGGGAAGAGATCGTGAACTATATCAAGGGCGTTTGGTCGTTCGAAGAAACCAAAAGTCTGGCGTAGGGATGGAGTCTGACAAATATCTGAGAAGGCCGTAGTATTCGAGATAAACCCAAGGGGAGAGGTCGAGTACAGCTTCGTATTGTCGACAGTTTCGTCCTCTAGCTGTCTAGCAGGGCTATCTGGAGGGCAGGACATCCGTGAATTGGTCCACGTAGGCTGGTGAGCGAACCTGTTGAACCTCGTCCGTCTAACTTCGTCGATTCTATCCCCCTTATTTAAACCCTTCGGTCGTTCAGACCACTCTCTCTGGAGTCCCTGTTGCAGCCCGTTCGAGGAAGTCACACGCTTCCCTTCAGCAACTAGTCGGGAGAGGTCAGAATGCGAAAGTACAACCCTCGGCTCATCGTGTATGTTGAAGGCCAGGTCCATATCAGGCAGATACTTGACGAAAGTCGCCATCATCCCCTTGATCGCATTCCTCTTCCACTGCTCGGGTTCCCCACCTCCATCAACCAGCGTAACATTCCCATCCCTTATCATCAGTCCGATTAGAGCATTTTCAAATCCTATAGCTTCTCTTGCTCGTTCTCGGATAGTCTTCGGCTTGACTCCCCAAAAGGGGAGTAGGGTGTCGTATATCGTATCATATTCATCAATCATCTGTACACCTCTGCTCTGGGCGAATTTGAACCAGACATCGAAGTGTGGCGGCGGGTAAAGACCATATCGACGCCGGTACTCAGCAACAGCCTGCTGCAATGTCTTTGACTGTCGCGAATGCGTGGTCCTGAACTTCTCTCCGGAGGTCTGGATCAGCTTCTCAATCGGATGCTGGGCGAGATCATTGCCCGTTGGACCAGTGGGGTTGTCATGGTTATTATTAGGGTCATTATTATTGTCTTGCGGTAGGTTCTCGTCGCCAAAGGACTCGACCGGCTGTTGGTGAGGTGGTGGACGATTTGGTGCTGGTGCGATGGGCCTCTCGTCCGAATTTGGCGCAAAGAAGATAAACAGCAGAACAACAAGGGACGCCAGGCCCGCAAGAAGGGTAAACCGTCGTCCTTTCATGCCTTGTGAAACCCGGATGCGCGACAAGAAGAGTTCATTGCTAGAATTCCTTTGTCGGGGCATTTATTTTTCTGTTTGGATCTTTAAGCTATCAAAATCTCAAAAGGAGAAGTTTTGGCTTCAGCCAGGAGAAAAAAAGAAATGCCTCGAGCCAAGCAGGGGATGACGACGTGGAAAATACGAACGAAGTACGGAGTATAAAATAGCTATTTAAGTAACATTATTTTATTCAGACGAACAGTATATTAAACATAATATATTCATGACCTCCTCTCTTTATAGATGGATATTCGCTATCAAGTATTTCTATGTGGTTTCGTTCCATGCGCCTAGTGAACTAGAGTCTGATAACCAACTTAGGTACCTAGGTAACTACTTGATGGTCACTCAATATCTAGTAACTACCTAGTTAATAGGAAATTGGCCAGCTCTCAAAATAATCATGAATTTAAGCCACCGATAGTCAGGGTAGAAACGTTTTTGCGCCCTATATTTTTAGGGTCCGATAAGCAACCCACAGCCCTATTCCTATAGTAGATAAAGCGCTGACGCTCCTGGCGTCTCTTTTCCGTAGGGCGTCGGCCCTGGGTTGCTAGATGGTATTATATCCGTACCTTTTTAGTATCAGACAACGTCAATAGCAATATCAATCTTTGATGCAATAGTACACCAACTCCCAGCATATCTATACGGCATGAAGACTCCGTAGAGAAGACAAATTGTTAAAGCTATGTTCCCCCATGTACGTGTTGATAAATCTTAGAAATTGTACATAGATTCTAGCTGAACGCCGAAGCTACGACTCTGGGTCTCTCTGGAGATCTTTACGGAGTCTACTCGTCCACTATCGTCTAAAAAAAAGAAGATCGACAAGCACACGGACATGGAGCCTTTTCTCTAGTTTTCTCTAGACAGCTGGAGTCTGGGTAACAAACCCTTGTTTGTTTGTTTGTGTTTCTTCTGAGAACCAGCATCGGATGCACCCCTCAGGCGATCTACCCTTGCAAACACCTGGCAGCGGGCCGGCAATCTAATAACGATGACGGAGTACTTGGGAGACTAGGTGCCCTATCGAGCTCGAGCTTTTAGAGCTAGAGAAGCCTGTCTGCCTTAGGCGGAAGAAGTCGATGATGTATGGAGTAATTGGCTTCTCGGAGTCATAAGAGTATACTCCGTAAAGGCCGTGACTGTATGAATGGCAACAACAACGATCTGGATATCTGCTGAATACTAACTATCTGAGCCTAGGCTTGTTGTATATGTCCTATCCTTCTCAGCGTCCCCTGAAAAAAATAACAACGTAAACGTGACAGAGAATAAGATGCATCTCTCGGGACTATCATGGATGGCCATGATCGACGAGAGCGAGAAACAGTGTCTCTTCCACAGAGTATGTATGACTGCAGAGCTGTTTCATCAGGGTATCTAGCCTCTGGACTCCTTGGTGTCTTGATGTTGTTGTTGGCTTAGCTGAACCCGCGGCACTTATCGGCCGGGTGGTTAGACGCCGAATCCTTTCGCCAAAAGTGCCTGCTTACAAAGTATCCGGCTACCAAAACAAATTACTGTAGACCGAGAGCGAGCACGAGCGAGAGAAGCCAGAGAAAGCCATGGGAGGAGATAAGCCTTTAAGTAGTAATAATAATGATAATGATCAGAAACTAAGTAACAAGAAGGAGAGAAGAAGGAAAAGAGAAGAAAAGGAGAGAGAGAGGTATGTACATGAGTAAGCAGCATCAAAAGCGGCAAGAGAAAACTGAGGGTACGCTTCGCTAAAACGGCACTGGAATGCCTAAACAGGTCTAGTGTTGTTGAAACAGGCCTATCAGGAGCAGCTGGGATGGCGTGCTCGCGCGGGTCCGCCACTTGCACTCACTAAGGGAGGAGCAGGAGACGCAGGCAGGAGGAGGAGCAGATATAATAAGCAGCAGTAGAAGGCCGGAGGGCAAAACTACTTTGAAAAGCAAAGAAAAGTCTTTCACCTCCCCTTCTTCCATCTTTTTCTCTTCATCTTCCTCATCTTCACCTTCCCATCACCAGGCCTTGTCAGTGTGAGTGCACGAAGACAGGCTGACAACAGAAAAACAGGGGGGAATCACCCAAGTTGGGAATACAAACAAAAGCACAATCATCACGCTGGGGGAGTTGGGTCATGATATGAAAAAACAGACAGTCAACAGCAGGCAGTCAAAAAGAGGCTTGGTGACCTGATATGATGATCGGTGATGAGCCTGGCAAGGGTATAGCTTTGGCTCTTCGACCTCAGCTGGTAAGCAGGCAGCATCTTCTTCTTCTTTTCGTCAACTTCGTCATCTACGACTCTGCTTCAAGCCGTCCTTACAGCTTCAAGCCCCTGTTGGAGAAGAAGGTACATTGCTTGACGTGATGAGACTTGCCTGTCTTCTCGTCAAACATAGAACAGCCAAAGTGAGCTGCGTTTGGAGGAGTATACACTGGTTGCCATGTCAGCATGGAAGAGGATGAAGAATGAAGATGACCAGCAAAAGGTAGGTCGTCGACCATACTCGCAGAGAGACTACTTACAGTGCAGAGAGATTGCAAAGTTATTTGGATCTGGGTTCGAGATCTTGTGCAGGCCAAGCTGGAGAGTCAATGTCAGCTTTGCCATCCACCGGCATCCCGTTGACGGATACTGAGAGATGCTTACCTTGTCGGACATGTATGCCACTTCGTTCTCCCGAAGGATGGTCTCCTTGGTCACTGTTAGGGGGCAGGCTTCGCCGTTGTTGACTTTGTCCTGCTCCGGCCAGTCGTATCGGTTCTCTTTGAGAGAACCATGCAAGATCTACACCAGGGAAAGAACATGATGATCAGCTACGGTGGGCTCTTTTGCTCTTGCTTTCCTTCTCTTTTTCTTGTTTTCTTGCTTCCTTGCTTTCTTGCTATCTTCTCTCTCCCAAAGGGAAAGGAAAGGAAAAGAAAAGGTCAATACTCTACCTTCATTACACAATGAGCGTTAGCATGGTCGTGGATTGGACTGGACTTGCCCGGATTCCAGACGAGGATGAGCTGCATTCAATTTTGCCATGTTAGCCGAGATGGTTTCCATTGACTGGACAAGACTGGCTGGCGTTTTTTTAACTCACCAAGTTACTCTTGCCGTTGCCCTCATCTACGAGGTTTCTGGTATAGGCTCTGGACTCATCTGCCAATGCATATCGCTGCCACTCCTCGTGGTTCGATATGTATCCTTCCATCAACTTCTGGATGTCCTTGGGGTCGACGTCGTCAGAGTCAAGACCCGACGATGGCCCAAGGACAGCACTGAGGTCGTCTACTAGCTTATGGAAGGCATCTTTCCCCTTGACGTCCACTGGGACGATGGGTTCTGCCGTTGTGGACTGGTTCTCGATGAATGGCATGATGACTCGATGGATCTCAACAGTTTTCTTCCCGCTTTGGGTTGCAAAAATTGGGTTGTTGTGAGAGAAAAAGTTGGCTTTCGGCAAACGATAGGCAACTGTAGGCTTGAAGGTGGAGGAGTAATGGTAGAAAGAGATATATACAGTTGTCTCTAGGAAGGGTGTGATGGTCTTTTAGGGGAGGTTGAAGGAAACTTGATCCGGATGAATGGGGACTTTGTGCCTTAATTCTCTTCGCACCTTGGGGGAACAGACTTGTTAGTGTCCGCAGTCGTAGTTTCATCCTTTTGCTCCACGCCACTTTGGCGGTTTCGGGTCACCCCGACCAATCCCGTTCCTGCGCGCCCTCCACGGATATTCCCGGGCGCCGAAAGGGTTCAAAACGGGTCACATGGATAGGTCACGTGATGTAAGATCGTTATCGGATAAACTTAGATTCCGAGATAAGATCAAGATTCGATTAGATAAGCCGCGGATAATGTCGTTCTTTTTTTTTTAATTTCTCTCTATTATCAGCGACTTGTGTGAATTTATATCAAACTAAAACCCCCACTGTTAAGGTGTTGAAGATATAACGACACAAACTACAGCTCTTGCGCGTTCTATTTCTATCGTCAGCGTAGCATTAGCTATTTTCCGTTATCTTATTTCCTTATTTACCCTTTTTTGCAGCGTTTCCCCTTATCGGGCAGATACCGCAATCATGTCGACCACAGTGGACAAGGTTTGCTATCAATCATCCCATAAACACCCATGGAAGAGCTATGGCTAACCATGTCGTCTTGTTTCCATGGTTATAGATTAAGGAGATTGAGGCCGAAGTCGGTACCCTTCCGAAGCCGTTTATTTCTACTCTCCCGCAACCCCGAGCCGATGTTTTAACCATGCGTTCTTATGATATAGATGGCCAAAACACAAAAGAATAAAGCCACATCGTTTCACTTGGGTATGATCTGGAACAGCCTTCTACCAGACAAAAAAGAAAAAAAGGGAAATCATCGCCAGGGGTTTCATGGATCTGACAGTGGAATATAGGTCAACTGAAAGCTAAGCTTGCGAAGCTAAAGCGTGAACTGCTCACCCCCAGCGGCGGAGGTGGTGGAGGCGGAGGTATGCTTTGGCCCCCATATGGACATACAAAGGGATATGCGTTGGGATAATAGGGCTGATGTGACGGTTCACAGCTGGTTTCGATGTTGCGCGTACGGGTGTTGCCAGTGTGTATGTTTTTGTTCAAATTTCTCCTACCCCCGAGCTCAATTCAACACGACGGAGTCGCTAACATGATTCAGTGGCTTCATTGGATTCCCATCTGTGGGTAAGAGTACGCTCATGAGCAAGCTGACCGGCCAACATTCCGAGGGTATGTCTCATTTGGTTTAAAAATAATACCTCCTGATTAATTGATACCCCCCTGTGCTGATACGTACATCACACAGCCGCCGCATACGAATTCACAACTCTTACCACTGTTCCCGGCCAGGTCCTATATAACGGGGCAAAGATCCAGATGCTTGATCTTCCCGGCATCATCCAAGGTGCCAAGGACGGCAAAGGTCGAGGAAGACAGGTCATTGCCGTTGCCAAAACATGCCATCTTATCTTCATCGTTCTAGACGTGAACAAGCCCTTGACCGACAAGAAAGTCATTGAGAACGAGCTGGAAGGTTTCGGCATAAGGATCAACAAGGAGCCTCCGAACATTATCTTCAAGAAGAAAGATAAGGGTGGAATTGCCATCACCAACACAGTACCCCTGACCCATATCGATCACAGCGTAAGTGAATTTTCTAGGCATTTTATCTCCGGCATTTTCCCCCGGCATTCAGAGAGATGCAGTAGCTTATCGGATGTATAGGAGATCAAAGCCGTTATGAACGAATACAAAATCTCTTCGGCGGATATAGCTATCCGCTGCGATGCCACGATCGACGACTTGATTGACGTCCTTGAGGCTCGAAGTCGCTCTTATATACCTGTGATTTACGCTTTGAATAAGATTGATGCTATTTCAATCGAGGAGTTGGATCTACTATACCGTATCCCCAACGCCTGCCCCATCAGCTCAGAGCGAGGGTGGAATATAGATGAATTACTCGAGCTGATGTGGGATAAACTCAACCTGAGAAGGGTCTATACCAAGCCCAAGGGCAAGAATCCAGATTATAACGAGCCAGTAGTCTTGAGAAGTACTGCTTGTACGGTTGAAGATTTCGTACGTCTCATATTCCCGCCCTTCTCTTCCTCTTCATCCCGGGTTATTTTCGTTATTAACCTGACCGCCAGTGCAATTCCATCCACAAATCTATCGTTGAATCGTTTAAACACGCTATCGTTTACGGTCGTTCCGTCAAACATCAACCGCAACGAGTCGGATTAAGCCACGAACTCGCAGACGAAGACATAAGTAAGTGGATCAAGCCGTTCCGTTCCGCCATGCCCTATTTTCATGCACCTCCCTTTTACTAACATACCTTAATCATTAGTAACAATCGTCAAACGGTAAATGCATGTATACTTTAAGGAACTGGGTTCCCTATAACTCCTTTCCTGGGTCATCCATGCCCGTGGAGCTGGGATGTTCCACACAGCTATCCAGTCTACCCTGAATTGCGACTCCAGAACATGGTCTTGAATCTGATAGCTGGCGGGGTATACGGGATGACGTGTTCAGGAGGAGTGGAATTGAACGATACGCCTTGCTTGGACTTTGAGAAATATGCTTTTTAAGACAAGGTATGTATGTAAGAGGGGAGGTTAAAGGTGAAAGGTGTGTAGAGAGGGGAGAGGCGGAAGAAGAAGGGAGGCGAAAAAAAGATTGTAGCAGGCGCAACCGATGCAATGCACACTTGGGGGATGATTGATGAATTGAAATCCTTCTATCAATAATAACTGTTTAGTTAGGCAGAAAGGAAATATGGGATGCTAGGGAGGCAAGGTTGCGCAGCCCAAAACTTACCATGCCATGAAAGCCCGAAATTTAGCAAAAACCGTACATACAAATCACCGTAGTTAGTTATTCGTTTGTCTGTCTTGTTTATGTTGAAATTTGACAACCGTCTCACGAAACTCAATCGCAATTTTATCTTCCTTATTGTCTCGTCTGCACCTTCGTCCGCCTCGCCTAGGCAGGTGATGTATTGGATCTTCTTTTTTTGCAAACGGGCTTACAAAAAGCGGTCTCGAGACGATAGATTAAAAACTCAAGAACAGTTCCGTTTGATTCCATTCATTCCAATCCCCAACCGTGCTCGAGTTGATAAGCCGCCCCCAGATGGAAATGAAATGGTCGTCAAGATCCAATAATTGTATCGTAGACTATGCCAGGGCTCTATAGTGCATGCATGCTTCGCAGCTCGCATGGGCAATAATGCAAGACAGAGGTTTGCCCTGTAACCCTTGGCCCTTGCTCGTCTGCTCACTATATGCGCATGCAGGATAGGATTCCTCTCGGGCGCCCTGCCCCCTGTTTAATTGTCTTGTGTCTTGTGTGTTGCGTGTTGCATGTGTGCGTATTTTGTATATGTGTGTGTATCTGTTCCCCTGCCGAGCAACCCGGAAGCTTGCATATATGAGTACGTACATTGGATAGTCTATGATAGTCTGATATCTGGCCTGAACACGAAACCATTCCGGTTTGCTCTACCAGTCAGGTCTGGAGCAGATGGTTATCTGGTACGGAGACTCTCGGGTAGGGCCAGGCAGGGGGTTTCAGCCCGAGGCCGCAGTCGGGTATCCATATCCTTATCCATGCAAAGGAGACTTATCAGACGGTCGAACGTGTTTAAGTGACATGTATATCATCTCTCCCTGTCCCTGCGGAGGTATCTGGTTCCTTATACTTCCGTCCCGATAAGGGGGTGTTCAGACATTGAATTGCCGACAACGCTTTAATGACTGTGGGGGAAGGATGGATATTGAAACAGTTGTATCCTACCCAATCACCGGGGTAAAGGAGAAAAAGATGAGTGCTTCCCAATCATGAACCGTTCCATTGTCCTGGTTGGGATGATAATAAATACTACCGTTGCACATGTACTGCAAAAGAGTGAAAGAGAGTGAGGTTGTGTGTGCATGTTTACATTGTACGGGGATAGTTGGCTGGTAACTAGAAGGGCGGAAGGTTGGTAGCTATGGGTCTGGAGATCTCAGTCTGTTTGAAACATGAGATTCGAAACTTGGAATGTCAAACGTCAAGGCCAACCAAAAGAAAAGAAGTCTTGGTATCAAACGGATGATGCAGAAAGCAGATAGTGGGCAATATCAATGCATGGCGAGATAGGAAATTGAAGGCAAGACAAGCATCCCGCAGATAGATGAGCGAGATAGCTAAGTGGGCAAAGTGATAGTTCAAAGTTTGGGGGGAATGGGGAGGCAAAAAACAGCAAAGCATCCGTCGGCTGAAGAACCGGCGTCTAAAATGGGGCCAGAGGCGTGTGAGAGGATATAACGGTCGTGCTAATGGTAGGTTATGCTATATTCTTTACGGCGTCCTCGGAAGACATTTACGGTTGAAAGGAGCAGCCAAAAAAGGGGGAAGAATAGACTAAGCTTGACGATCATACAGATACACGGACAGGAAACGGGGAAGATATGATTTGGCCGTTGAGATCATCGGTATAACCTGCAAGATCAATATTTCAGATAGCCGCATCAAATCATCCGCCTACCGGACCCCCCTGTGGTGTGTGTATGACCTATCCCGATTAGGCCATCATAGAAAAACCCCCGAAGAAGCCCGAGAAACAACAATATTGATTGCTATTGCAGCTGCTATAGAGGTAAATAGTGCATTTCAACCAGAATAAACCATTATCCAGTTCCAGATCGATCGGGGTTTAAGCTGTCGCTCAAATTAACTGGACGTTATATACCCTCCAAGATTGGAATGTGTGTGACATGTCAGCCAGACAGCCATCCATCAGACAAGGTGAAGCACCCAAAAGACTGATATTAACAATAATAACAAGAAAAATAACTAGGATAAGAAGCATGTCATTGTCTTACTCCGTACAGCAATAGTCGATGGCCCAAAGCGAAAGAACCGTCCAAACATAAATCTCTGTTGAGGGACGCAACCCCCCGAGGAGGACCATGGATCTACAGCCCATCAACCTGGGGGATCCTTTGTGTGACCCGCCCATGCTGAGCTTGGTAGTCGCGGAGTGAGACGGGGGGGTATGGAGATGGGATGGCAACTGTGTTCCGGGCGGGTTGGAAGAGGCATCTGGGTTGACCAAAACACACATGCACACCACACACACAGCTAGCTTGCTAGCTAGCTATCTATCTAGATGGCGGATGTGTAGGGCGAAAAAAGCAAGCAGTCAGAAAAAGGCATCAAACGTTCCTTTTTTTCGTTTCGAGCCTTTCCTTCAGGGAGGCTTTACTTCCGTCTCTTCTCTTTTTCTTGTTCGCTCGTACTCAGGACGCCATGAAAAAATAACTAGAAGAGCGGAAGTGGAAGAAGAAAAGAAGAGATAGACTCGACAACCCGATTTTGGCAACTGTCTATGCCCGTTTTCTTTTCTTTTCAGCTGGATGACATTGCCCTGCAGAAATATCGTCCTCTTCCTTTCTCTTGAGCCACACTTGGCAGCCGTAATAAGGTCGTATGGTATAGGGCATGTCGTGTTTGATAGAGCGGTGAACATCGCCGCTGATGTCCGTCTCACATTACCGTTTGATAGCTTGAAAAGAAGGAGGATGAGAAGAAGAAAAACAGTAAAGTATACTCCCTACGGCGTCAAGCGTCAGGAGGACGAGATGAAATGCTGAAGAACCGAGATCCAGCTCCAATCGAGACGGTGTGTACATTTCACGTCCAGCGTCGATCTCTTGGTTTAGTTAGCCTGAAGAATTGAGCTAGAAGTCGATCCCCGACAAAGAACAGACCAGGAGAAAAAGAAAGGAAGGAAGAAAGAAAGAAAGAAAAAAGAGATGAGAGGGTCCATATCGATATATCAGGGGGTCCTGCTTGTAGAAGAGATGGAGAGACAGAGAGAGAGTCCCTAGTCTTTGCGCAAGCTTGAGGATATCGACAGCGCAGGTGGTACCGAGTACAAAGTACTCCGTGCTCCCTCCGCTGTCCTTTGCTTGTAAATCGGCCGGCCAGGTACATGATGCGATGTAATATGCCATTTGTAAAATATCGAAATGGCTGGTGTCGTATCGGCATCGGGGCGTTTGACAGTGATCGATGCCCAGGTATCAACAGGATTTACCTGTGTACAGACATACGCAACGCATGTCACTTTGCATACAGACATACATCAGATCTCATGGAGCTGCCGGAACAAAGGGCAGCTAAAAGGGAGAAAAGAGCGAACAGGGCGAAAAGGATGGACATGCATTTGGCCCGCTTCAAGCAGGTCGAGACGGTAGAGACCCCAGCGGTGTATATATTAATAGCAAGTTTACCTGAATCAATATCAGCAGAGAAGAGAGAGAACCCGCCGTTTCTTGACTCAAATGGCTAGTAATAAGCAGCTGGAAGCGATGACCAGGTATCTACCCGCTGCGACGACTTTTCTGGTATGGATGTTGTATATGTGTGTATATCAAAAGGAGGCTAAGGGGCTTCGGTACCAGGTTTTACTGCATGGTCAATCGGCGGATATTCCGCCTGCCGATGGTGGAGCAAGGGACAGGCGGCGAGCAGTGTGTGTATGCATGCATGTTATGTACGCCGCAAGAGAAAGAGAAGAGACACACACAGAAAGAGAGACAGAGAGAGACGAAGCAGGCATCATGCCATCAGCACAGAGGCGAATTGAGCTACGTGCTGCAAAGCGCTGATGAATTGCAAGGGTTCTCGAAAAGAGATGCGGAATAATGGTTACTATGATGCAGTGTTCCCTCTTATTATGCACCTTTTCTTCTTCCGTTTTTTTCCTCTGTGATCTTCTTCTTTTTCTTCTGTTTCTTCTTCATAGGCCAAGCTTGATTATCGTCCAAGCTCCCCTTCCCATGCTTGGTAGGAAGCAAATCGGAGACGATATCAAAATGTTGGTTGCAAGGTCAAGAAAAAAAAAGGGGCTGCGGGCTGAACAATGAAAAGGGCCAGCAAGGTGCAGACAAAAACCAACATATAGACTATTTTACTTCCCGCATCTTCGGGATTGGCGTGAAAAGCCGTCGGTAATTAGACAGTCTTGTATACAATGTGGTTTTTTTCTTTACTAGGGGGGAGGCGAAAATGGGAGAGCGATTGAATAATGGCGTGAGAGGCATCAAATCGACTCTTGTTCACCTTCCGTTTGCCAAATCGGTCGATGGGAAGCAAGGCTGGGATGGAGGACATACTATGTATAATTAACATTCGTTAAGGGCCGGGATCCCACATATATATGACTCTCCACATATTCGAGGTGATACGTGAGTTGACGGCTTGTCGGTTCAGGAGAAAACACGACAGGGGCAGTCACCGAAAACGAACGAGAGGCTCGACGTTGCCGCGGCGGTAGAAATACACAGTTCCGATGCCTGTACAAGGGCGAGATGCTT